AAACAAGAGACTGGGATAAGGTAGTTGAGAGGCAGGCAGACCAATAAGAAGTGACTACAACAGTTCCAGTACAAAACAGAAAGGACACTGAACTCAAACGAAAGTAACAGAAATGGAATTCTTTATATGGGAAGGCAGTTTACAATTTTTTGTATTTCTATATATATCATGAGAATTTCATATAAATTAACTGCCCAAATCAAGCCAAGAGGCCCTTCTATACAAAAAATTATTGCACCCCCAAATCTGCACACCAAAACAGTTATGAGACATAATCATGTACCAAATCAAAGGGCAGGGTTTGCCTTTCAAAAGACACAATCTAGTTATTATCAGCCCAAGAAGGTTCACATTATTTCTATACTAACATTTAACAATGCTCTAGGGAAGTGACAAACAATCATGTTTTAAGGACAAATATTTTTTGCATCTTTTTCCTTTCCATCATCTTTATCAGTGGAGATATTTGCATGAAAACAGGATAACTGGTCCTGGGGGATTCATCAGTTCCTATTGCTTATTTTTCATCCATGTCATCCTCTCAATTAATGTAGAAAAGAGGATTGAGACATCGAAATACCAGATTAGGGTATCAAGTAAATGTCAACCTCTAGAGTAGATGAATAATCTATAAGGACAAAAAAAAAAAAAAAAAGGATCTTGTTTTTATGCAAATACACTATACACAATAAAACAAAGAGAGTTTATATCCAAGAAGTCTGATCCATATCAATGTAATTCTTTCCAAGTATAAATATAAAATCTATATTCTAAATATGTCAATAAATTCTTATGATCAAAGCAAATGACAATCAGTTGCAAAGCACTGCTACAGAAGTTTAAATAAGACTGAATTTTGAACTAGAAAAATAATTTTGAAAAATCTCAGCTGTACTCATGGGACTTATCTGGCAGAAATGAGCATTTCTGTTGCACAGTTTTGGTTCAGTGCATAAAGTGGCTGATTAGGTGACTTTAAATCTCCCCACCTACAAAGCCTTAAGTTTTAGATATACCCTTAACAGTAATGGTTTTAACTGTGTGGATTAAAACTAAAACAAACCATACCAAGTTTCTGATTCAGTGGAAAGCCATTAAAATAGACTTTATTGATGCTTGGGGAACTGATTCATTCTAAAAACTGATAAAGACAAAGAATAATTTATTCAGTAAAAATAGCTTTCAAGGTAATAAATAGTTACTAAGATAAAAACCATCATAGAAAAATTCTAGCTAATAAGAAGGAATGACAGAATTAGAATATTACCATTTTGAAACCTATAATAAAATAGTAGACTTAGGCAGTTACCAAAGGTTGCTAAAACTCTGGTGCAAGGCTGATGGTGAATTTTACAATGAATAATAAATCAGGCTAACAATATCTTTACCAAATAATTAACCTTAATATCACAAAGAGAGACAGACATTATATACCTTCTGATAAATGTATACAATACTTATGAAATATTCTTGCCAAAATAAAAATCAAGCCTGTATCTATCTATGCACCACCATAGGATGGTAAGCAACAAAATCTAGAATATGGAAAATGCTATTGAACAAATAACTAGGTTTAATAAATGACAAGGGAAAATACAAGGGAGGAGGAACTATGACAGATTAAAAGAGACTTAAGCCTGGCTGATGTGCTCATTGGTTGAATGTTGACCTATGAACCAGGAGGTCACAGTTTGATTCCCAGGTTGTGGACTCAATCACAAATAGGGGATGTGCAGGAGGCAGCTACTAGTAAGTGATGATTCTCTCTCATCACTGATGTTTCTCTCTCTCTCTCTCTTTCTCTCTCTCTCCCTTACTCTCTCTGAAATCAATAAAAACATATTTTAAAATAGTAATAAAAAATAAATAAACGAGCCCAGCTGGCATGGCTCAGTGGTTGAGCAGTGACCTATGAACTCAGGGCACATGTCAGGGTTGCAGGCTCAATCCCCAGTGTGGGGCATGCAGGAAGCAGCCTATCAATGATTCTCTCTCATCATTGATGTTTCTATCTCTCTATCTCTCTTTCTCTCTGAAATCAATAAAAACTATTTTAAAAATAAATGAATAAATAACTAAAAGAGACTTAAGAGACATATCCACCAAATATGGTATATGAACCTTAGTTAAGATACTGATTTAAACAAGCTAACTGTATAAAAGCAATTATGAGTCAACCAGAAAAATCTGAATCTTAATTGGGTATTTGATGATATTAAGCAAGTTTGCTAAAAAATTTTAGGCATAATAATGGAAGTGCAGTTACATTAAAGAAAGAACAACAGAAAGAAAGGAAGGGAGGGAGGGTCCTTGTCTTTTGAAATCACATCTGAAGTTATTTGACAATGAGGTAATCTGATGCCTGAGGGTTGCTTTAAAAGAATCATGGGAGGCTGATATAAGTAAAACAGATTGCCCATGCTGACTATTAAAGCCAGATATGAGTACATGAAGTCATTATTTTAGTCTCTCTACCTTGGTATATGTTTAAAATTTTCCATAATTAAAATTAGTGAAAAAACCCCACACAAACTCACTTCATTATCTTTCTCAGTAGGAAAGCAGAAAAAAACACCCCACTATTTAGAGAAAATATAGCAATTTCAACTATAACTAACTAGAAATAACATTATTAATCAATATATTCGACAATATAGCATCTTCTTGACACACTGAGCATAAAATTTATTTCATAAAAAAACTGACACAGAGAGATAAAGGATTGATCATTATTATTATTACAGCATTTATTATCCAGAGCTAGAAAGAGAATCAATTTCTATATTATACAAGCCTTGCATTCATGAATTTAATAATCAACGATTTGCTTTTTCATTATAAACCCTGGAGGTCTATGACATACCTGGTAATTAGTAATTTTACCAAGACATAAACTTCAATCACAAGAAATACACAGTACATAGAGAAGAGTTAGGTCACAATGAGTGAACCTAGCAGAGAACCTAGCAACCATATCTTAAAGCAGTTTGTTGTTCTCTGCTTCTTGATTCACGAAGTGATTAAAAAATGTTTTCTTGGTAAAATTAAAAAAAAAAAAAAAGAGCCAATGTTAATTACAGTAATGGAAATAAAAGATAAAGAGGGCTAAAGAAGTGATGACTATCAGTCAAAAATCATAGGCTTTAAATTGAATTTTAAAGTTAAATGTTGAATTTGGAAGTAACTTAAATCAATGATGTGTAAAAACCCACCATATGCTCTATAAATAAGAAAAATAATTTATGAAACATTTTAGGATGGCTCTAATCCATCCTCTAATCCAGTGATGGCGAACCTTTTGAGCTCGGCGTGTCAGCTTTTTGAAAAACCCTAACTTAACTCTGATGCCATGTCACATATAGAAATTTTTTGATATTTGCAACCATAGTAAAACAAAGATTTATATTTTTGATATTTATTTTATATATTTAAATGCCATTTAACAAAGAAAAATCAACCAAAAAAATGAGCTCGCATGTCACCTCTGACATGGTTGTCATAGGTTCGCCATCACTGCTCTAATCAGTACAAAACTTGCATTTTGAAGAAAATTATAAGCTATACTAGCCTCTCAGAACTGTGGATTTATGAAGGTCTCAAGAGGTATCTACTGAGAACAAAGTTCTAACCACTGTATTTATATTGAATATCTCTTTCAATTACAAAGTGAAAATTTTCTACAATTCCTTTTCTAATTTTATAATGAATACAGTATAGGAAGAGATATAATTTATCTACATATATTTATATATAAAAGCCTAAGCAACTGAATGACTGGTCACTATGACACGCACTGACCACCAGGGGGCAGACACTCAACGCAGGAGCTGCCTTCTGGTGGTCAGTGCACTCCCACAGCCAACCTCCCGCAGCCCCTATCAGCCCAATCACTGGCCAGGCAAAGGGACCCAACCCGTGTACAAATTTGTGCACCGGGCCTCTAGTAAAGAAATAATTTTAAACTAAAATAATGAAGAACAGATAGGAATAAGTAAGATCTTTTTTAAATTTATTTTTTTAATGTATTTTATTGATTTTAGAGAGGAAGGGAGAGGGAGAGAGATAGGAACATCAATGATGAGAATCAATCATCAGCTGCTTCCTGCACACCCTCTACTGGGGATCAAGCCTGCAACTCAGCATGTGTTCTGATGGAATCAAACCATGACCACCCAGTTCATATGTCAATGCTCAACCCCTGAGCAACTCTGGCCGGGCAAATGAGATCTTTTAAAACCATGCTCATGGTACAGATTATGTTTTTGTTCTGCTATCTATCCCTTCCTTTGAGGAATCAATTGTTCTCTCCCATTCTGTGTGATTTGATTTAGACTAAGCCTTTCAATCTGTGTCTGCACCTAGGACCCAGGCCTGATCTATCAGAGTGCTCCATGCTACCTGGCTAAAGGACTGGTTCCAGGTTAGGTATATGAGCCAAGATGGAACAGTCAGAGTCCTCCCAGGACCTTTCTTTTGGAATGTTCAGAAAAGATGTTCTTTCTTTGGGGACTATGAAATTTAAAGACATATAAATTAGAGCTCATTTTGGCCACTTGCCCAGTTCTAGGAAAAAGCTATCTGCAGCAGCAGAGAATAAGGCTAATGCATGAGTGAAACAAAGTCTTGAGATGCAAACCAAAAGCAAATCCCAATGATATCATTAACAGTCATGGATCTAGATATCCTCAAAGCTATTTCTACTCCTGAATTTTGATTTATGTGAACTAATAAAGTCCTTCTTTTGCTTAAGCTAGTTTGATTGGACATTCTATCACTTAAAACTGAAAGGATTTCCAATATATTTTTACTGTACAGAAAAAAATAATCGTTACCTAGTAAACTCAGTAGTTATTCCAGCATATTCTATCATAAAAGGCACACTTTAGATTATAATGACATCTTACCTTCATAAAATGTAATACAGACATCTGTATTACAGCTAGAACTCATCATGAAATACACAACAGGCAACCCTGAATTAATGTGATCTGGGTACTCACACTCATCTAGCCCCAGCTGATAGGCCAGGTTCTGTAGGCCTCGTACCTTCTCCATCAAATTAGCAGTGGTGAGGCTCCCCAGTTCTGAAATAGAATCATTTATTTCAATATCATTTCTATACACTGTTCTCTAATAACAACTCATTTGAGATGGGAATCCTTCTTACACAAAATTTTAAGCTTTAATTTTTATCAGATAAGAGCATAAATCCATTTCTTTTCTCCTCCAACCACTCCCGCCCCCACCACACACACACACACACACACACACACACACACAATGAATTTTCCCCACTAATGCAAAATTGGGTCAGATGAGCTTACCCAATATGAGGAGAGAGTTAGCAAACTATGTTTTATCTTAAGGATCCTTTAACAACATTCATTTTGCCTATCATACAAAATGAATACACAATACAAGTATCAAACCTTGTGACTCCACATAGCATTGAGAAAGCCTATACTGGTTGACAGATCTGTCTTGAAAAATGGACACTAATTCCACTGTCTTTTATTAATTCTTATTATTTAAATTAATAAAATAGTGACAAAACATGTATTGTTCCCCCATTTCCCTAAGTTTAGAAAACAAACACTAAATATTAACCCAAACTTTCCCTTCAAATCAAATACCTATAAAAAATTTTAAGTTTACCAGGTAAAAAGACAGTATACTTAAAAAACAACAATTTACTTTCCCAGATTTTCATTTAAATAGCATAGCACAAAATTCCTTTTAGGTTAAAATACAGGTCAATTTATATGAAACATTATGCTATATCCCTCATTAAAAATTTAACGTTTCCTTAGAAAATGCATATTGATGGCATATAAATGTCTGTTTGGAACATTAGAACAATGAACCTGAAATGCCCTTGAGACTTAATATTTCCAGAGTTGGAGGAGGGGAACCTGCATTTAAGCATTTCATGCAGAACAATGAATTACCTTTGAAATCAAATAAAGGTGTTTTTTTCTCCCACCTATCATCAATATCTGGCATAAGTAGTAGACTTTCTTGATCTGTTCAGCTGCTTAAATAGCTCAAGCATCCAATTTTTACCTTCATTTCAGTCTATTACTTCACAATCATCATGAATCTTATCATCAGAGGATGATTAAAAAATAAATAAATAAAGTAGAGCAAAAATCAAGGAAAATTAATGTTTTTTAATTTAAATTTCCACTTGTGGTTCAGTTCCAAGTCATTTATCAAACAACAATAATCACTACTTATAGTATTCTTTATTGGAGAAATTGATGGGAAAGAATAAAATAAGACAGGTCTTACCTATGAAGGGATTGTCAACTAATAGTACTGACAATAATATATAGCAGTAAATCCTAAATAAGCACTTGTTTATAGTGGAAAGAGACTAGACTTAAAATAAGAGTTTAAATTTTTTCACTCTAACAAATCTTGGTTAAGTTAACCCTTTGAACCTTAGATATCATCATATCTAGCTCACAGGACCTTTATGAGAAATGAAAAAATTTATGCAAGAGCTTTTTGTAAACTGTAAGCATTATACAAGACAAAAGTATATTAAAGGACTTTAGGTACAGATAAAACCATTATGAGCAGGTCTTAAATTAGAAGGATTGCTACATATGGAAAAGTTAAGAAAGGCATTTAGACATGAAGAACATCAATAAAGATAGTTAGGTAGGCAGTTTGAGTGAGCTAAGAATACTTTCAAGGGAACAGTCAGAGAAAAACTAGGAAGGTGGTTTGTGGGAGAGCATAAATATCGGGTTAAAAGATAAAAGTCACTAGCATAGCTTACCTTTCAACATGTCGATATCATCACGTTCTATTTCAGCCATCCATTTGGGTGGCGAGCTAGTAATAGGCTGTCAAAAAATAAGAATATATCCACTCAGTTACATACAAAGTGTGAAGAGACCCTACTTTTCCTTCTTGTAGGTAGCTTGTCACATAGCATTCAGTTTGTGTGAAAATACTGGCAAATTATAATTTCTAAAACCCTGATTTCTCCAGATTCAGATACGGCCTATAAGTAATCACCTTACAAAATAATACTGCTCATCCTTAAAGTTGGTCTCAGAGAAATGATCTTGGAAGAATTAGGTCTGACTACTGTCATTGTTTCATGCCTAACAGGTTAGTATAGAAATTAAAGAAATTACTTGAAATTCAGTTCTGGGGAAAGCCTCCAACTGAAATGTTTGAAACAATAATCAGTAAGTAACATTTTCTAGCAGAGGAGAAGATTCAAAGAAGAGTCAAGAATGAGAAAATCCTCAATTTGCAAGAACACTGTAATGGTCATCACTTGAAATTTCATTTTACAGCAGGTGTTTTAGAAAACTTTAGAATTTTAAGTTATTTTCTGATTTCTGAAAGTGAACTTACAAAATTTGAAAGAACCCCTTTTTAGAATAGCTTTAGGCAACAATTTTCAACCCTAGTTGTAAGAGTCATCTATGATGTAACAACAACAACAAATACAAATGACCTAGCCATACCGTAGATGCAATGATTAGAATATCAGGGGTGGGGGAAGGGTCCATTGGAGAGAACAGAGCAAGGAACAGTACATAAGTACTTTTTAAAGGCTCCATAGCTGCATATTGATGATTTTGTTGTGCAGGTAGGAGTACAGTTGAGAAACATTACTTCAGTTTTGAGCCCCCTCCACTTTTATAATATATTTTTATTAATTTCAGAGAGAAAGGAAGAGGGAGAGAGATGGAAACATCAATGATGAAAGAAAATCACTGATCGGCAGCCTCCTGCATGCCCCACACTGGGGATCGAGCCTGCAACCCAGGCATGTGCCCTTGACCGGAATCGAACCTGGGACCCTTTGGTCCGCAGGCTGATGCTCTATCCATTGAGCCAAACCGGTTAGGGCAAGCCCTTTTCTTTTTAAAAAAAGTAATATTTACTTAGCACTATGCAACAAGCAAAACACTTTACATGCATTATGTCATTTAAGTTCTAAATCAACCCTATGAAGTAGGTATTATTACCCTCATTTTACAAATAAAAAAACAAATGTACAGGAAGATTATAAATCACTTGCCTCAGGTTACACAGCTAGTGGACACAGGATTCAAAATCCATATAGTATGAGTTCAGAAACCACTACTCTATACTACTTTCCCTAGAAGGCTATTTATTATAGGTCAAATTCACCATTTCTGGAAACAGATTATACAAGATCTTAACCTGGGATCCTGGGATGACCCTGGCCCCCTAGAAACAAAACTCAATATGTATGTCCATATTTCTAGGGAAAAGGTGTAGATGCTTAATCAGATTTTCAAAAAATATCATACTATAATAAAAGTTATTTAAAAACCACTTATTTATATTTATGATTCAAAAGACTTAGTTGTTACCAAATACAACGAACTAAACTGAAAAGTCGGTATGAATAAGAATGTAAGAAAATTAATCAGACACTTTCTACTCCATCCACGAGACAAAAGCTGATCTAGTAATAATAGCTACCATGTATTGTTTATTATGTCCCGGGTACTTTGCAAAGTGTTTTAACTTGCATTATGGCATTAAAAATCCTATGAGATAGTTTCAAATGAGAAAACTAAGGCTCCAAAATTTTAGAAAAGTTGCTGAGGTCACAGGTAGTTAAGTAATAGATTCAGGCCCTGGCCAGTGTGGCTCAGTTGGTTGAGCATCATCCTGTGCACCAAAAGGTCTCCAGTTCGATACCTGGTCAGGGCACATACCCAGGTTGTGGGTTTGATCCCCAGTTGGGGTACATGCAGGAGGCACCTGATCGATGTGTCTCTCTCACATCTATGTTTCTCTCTCTCTTTCTCTCTCTCTCTCTCTCTCAAAATCAATGGGAAATATCCTTGGGTGAGGATTAACAAAAAACAAACAAAATAAGAGTGTGGATGCCAGTAATTAGACTAATGATTCAAAGCCTGATTCTGGCACATATTATAGCCTATAACCTTGGGTAACCTACTTACTCTCTCTGTGCCTATATCCTTGTCTGTTAAATGCCTCATATCGTTTTGTGAAGGTTAAGTAATATATGTGTAAAGTGCTTAGAACAGTGCCTGGCACATGGTAAATAAGTGGTAGCTAATATTATAATCATCATATTCTCCTACTTGTGGGAATATGGAAGAGAACATGTGTACAGCATCTAGCACAATTCCTGCTGCCCTGCAAATAGAAAAGTTGTGACTTGTTGGATTTCTTCCTTAGGTTTCTGATGAGCCACTGAGAAATTTCAGAAATCCTCTAAGAAGGTATATAAGTTAAGTTCATAATGCATCACATAAACAAAAGAGAAAAGCTTCAAGATCATAGTTTGGTGCCCTAGCCAATTTGGCTAAATGGATAGAGCGTCAGCCTGCGGACTGAAGGGTCCCAGGTTCAATACCGGTCAAGGGCACCTGCCCTGTTGTGGGCTCGATTCCCAGTAGGGGGCATGCAGGAGGCAGCCGATCAATGATTCCCTCTCATCATTGATGTTTCTATCTCTCTCTCCCTCCCTCTCCCTTCTCTGAAATCAATAAAATAATTTATTTTTAAAAATTCATAGTTTGGGCAAAAAGAATGCTGGTGTTACATTAAATATTTCAACTGCCTTCTGTTAAAAGCTTTTAAGCTAAGAAAAGAGGCTAATAGACAAAGGTCAAAATGCCAAAATAGAGCATTTGGACAGAAGAAGGCATTATCATCAATTAACATGATAATAATATAAACAGATTTCCAGGGCTGTAGTTACGAAGTGATTTAAAGACTACTAGAGGCCTGGTGCAAAAAATTTGTGCACTCGGGGGGGAGGGGGGGGTGGTCCCTCAGCCCGGCCTGTGCCCTCTCGCAGTCTGGGACCCCTCGGGGGATGTCCACTTGCTGGCTTAGTCCCGCTCCCCGGGGAATTGGGCCTAACCTGGCAGTCAGACATCCCTCTGGCAGCCCGGGAGCCCTCAGGGGATGTCCACTTTCCAGTGGGGAGCAGGCCTAAGCTGCAGTCGGACATCCTTAGCACTGCTGAGGAGGCAGGAGAGGCTCCCGCCACCCGTCAGCTGGCTTGTGGCTGAGCAGAGCTCCCCCTGTGGGAACGCACTGACCACCAGGGGGCAGCTCCTGCATTGAGCGTCTGCCCCCTGGTGGTCAGTGTGTGTCATAGTGACCAGTCAATCCCAGTTGTTCTGCTGTTAGGGTCAATTTGCATATTACCCTTTTATTATATAGGATGACATTATTTTGAAAACAAAGAAACAAGAGATATTTGAGCTGTTACCAAGGAGCAAAACATGATATAAACTTCATTAGGTAATTAAAATATTACTTACACTTTTGAAAGAAGCTGCAAATTCAGCAACACCTGGTACTAAAAAAGAAAAGATACATTATTTATTCAATTTTAGTGTCCCAGACATAGAAGATTCAAATAATAAGAAAACAGCCTGTCTTCAAGCTTACTGTCTGGAAGAGGAAAGAAAGAGTAAATCAATAACTGTAATACTGCTTAAGTTCTCCAAGAAAGATACCAGATGGTTTGGTAGAACCCCCACCCCCACCATCACCAAAAAAAAAAAGGAAATCTAAATCATACTGAGGGTGAGGGTGCAGGAAAGCTTCCTCAATTGAACTTTGAAGGATCAGGAATTAGCTAAGTGGGAGGGTGGCAAGATACTATATCTCTTACCAGATAAAAGTTTAAATTTCCTTTGTAGGTACACGGGTCTGCCAATCTAATTGTTTATTTAAATGTCTTATAGGCAAAGTCACATAAAAAGCCAGATATGTAAAAATAAAATGATGTTCAATCTCACTTAGAGAAATACAAACTACAAATAAAGATCAGTAACATTCAGTATCAGCTAGTATGTGAGTAAAGGGTCACTCTCATACACAGTCATCCTCTCCCATGTGCACAAAGCTACTTGTGCAAGGATATTTATTATCATTAAATTATTTGTAATATCAAAAGTTGGATATAATTTAGGTTTCCAAATAGGGTATGAAAACATAAAAGAGTATAATTATACTTTAAAAGAAGTAAACTTAAACCTACTAACATGGAAGGATCCATTAATAAATTACTACCACTAAGTGGAATAAGTTAAGTTGTAGACCATGTACATATGACCCCATTGTTATGCCCCCCTCAAAAAACACACACAAAAAAACCCTCTATATACTTAAAAATATATATTTATTTACTTATTTAAATAAATATAAAAAAGGTCAAAAGGATTGTATCAAACTACGAATGGTGATTTTATAAGAGTGATCAAAGGAGGTGAGAAAATACATTAAGTATCTCTCTATATAAATTGTCTGAACTTATTACAGATTTTTTTAATGATTATTTTTTAAAGGCTCCCCATCATTTCCTAAGTCACAGTGTGTCCTGAAAAAAGTAAACCACCAGCTATTCTGAACATTGGACCACAGAATTCATTCTCTTCCCTTTGAAGAAAAATTAAAATTTTAACCATTACCATTAAATACCTCCTTAAAAAATATCCTTCAATGTAGCACTGGTTCTCCTCCATTGATTCTGATATAAAGAAACCAAAAACTTACATTGTTCTGGCCAAAGATCTGGTGAGGCACGATCAAGTTTTTCAAAACTTAATAAAGATGCTTCCAGATCCGTCCCTGGAACAAAATACCCAGATGAGCCAAGAAGACACAAAACATGTTCATTTACATTTTAAAACATTTCAGTCTCAAAGAACATAACATACTGGAACATTCACCTGGAAGTCTAGATAGCGGAGTTCTATAACTGCAAATAAATGTTGTAAAAATGAATCATTTTCCCTTATCAAACCTCACTTTTCCGATATCTAATGTTTTAGTGGGGTATCAGAAAAAAATGAGTATCAGCAAACCCACCTGCACCTTCACTCATACTCTTAGACTTTCCTCCAGTTACAACCAAGTGTCCCTGCTCTCAAGACGAACTCCTCTGCTAGGGTTCTGAATTCCATCTTCTCTTGCTCTGACAAAAATATCATGAGTAATAATATCTTTCTTGCACAGTCAGTTTCTACCATCTCTACTGCTTCATACTCAACAGCAAGCAAACCTGCTCTAGAATTTCCCTTCTTTGAAAAAGCTCTTCCTTGACTCCATTATCTCCCCACTCCTTCTCTCAAAAGTGCTTGAGTTGTCTGTCTATCTTGCTGCCTCTACGTCCTCACCTCACATTCTCTCCTTAACCCATGACAATCAGGCTTCTGTTCCTATATGCATGGAAACTGTTGTCGTCAAGGTTATCTATGACCTATGTTGCTAAATCCAGTGGTCACTTCTCGGTTTTCTCCTATGTGACCTCTTTGCAGCTTTCACACTGACCACTCTCCTTGAAACACTCCACCTCCGGCTTCTGTAAAACCACTATGCTGGTTTTTCTCCTTCCTCCCTGATCCCTTTTCCTCAGTCTCCTCTTTCACTGAGGCCCCATCCTAAACTGGCTTCACTCTCTACACCTAAAGTCTCATGAGAAGATCTCATCTAGTCCCGCAGCCTTTACTGTGCCAATGACTCCATATTTATATTTCCAGGCCCAGTCTTTCTCTGAACTTCAGAGTTATGTATCTAACTAATACTTGACATCTCTCTCCATTTACACATGTGAAAAATCCCTTAATTCTAATATGTTCAAAAGCATACTCTCCCAGTCCTCTATGTCTCAAGAAATAGCACTACCACAAACCCCAGTTCTCAAAAACCCAGATACCACCTATTCTTTATGCCTCTCTTTCCTTCACCCTTCCATAACCCTCCATTAGTAAATCCACTAATTACCATCTCCAAAATACACCCAAAAACCAAATTAATTAACCAAGAAACCATGATTTCTCTCCTGGACGACTGCAATAACCTCTTAACAGGTCTCCCTTTTCCCATTCTTATCCCTTTTCCTCCCTACCCCCAAATCTATTGTCCACAAAGCAGCCAGAACTGATTTTTTTTTTAAATGCCAATTAGTTCATGTCACTCTTCAGCTTAAAGGACTTCTTCCCAGCTAAATTCGTGAATTTGTACCTACCATGCCCTATAAAATCCTACATGATCCAGCCTAATTCTTTGATGCCATTTCCTCTCTACTCTTGCCTGGGCACACAGTAGATACTGGATATTAACAATAGTTAACATGTGTTGAGTACATATTATATGCTCAGTATGCTAACTAGTTGCATAATCAGGTAATTTAATGACACAAACAGTTTTTAACATTTTCTGAATAAGCCACATCTTTTGAAATCTGGAAGAAAAAAAGCTATGGATTTATGGACTCACTCCCCAGAAAATGTACATGTATATAAATATTTTCAACATGAACTTTTCTCTAAATTGAAACATGAACTTTTCTCTAAATTGAATTTGCCCCCCAAATGTTCTAAGAGAATTTCCAATAGCATTCTAATTGGTCAAGAACTTGACCCTAATAATTGCCTTAATTAAAGCATCCAAATTGGTAAGAAAGGAAAACTGTGTAACACAAAGTGTCAGTTTTCAAATTCCAAAGAATGTTACCAATAACAAAAATAAACTTATTGGGAGTAGGAGCTAATAACCAACAGGGGTAGCCTTATGAAAACCACAGTTGGGGGCATAACTCAATCTTCTGTGAGGCTTACTCTCATACATTAAGTAATTAGATGGCTTTACTTGATTTCAGTTTTCTCCTTTTCAAAAAAGTCCCAGCAAATTTACCATTAAAAAGACAAATGAGGTCCTGGCCGGGTATCTCAGTTAGTTAGAGCATTGTCCAGATATGCCAAGGTTTTGATCCCCAGCCAGGGAACATACAAGATTCAACAAATGAATGCATAAATAAGAAACAACAAATCAATGTCTCTCTCTCTCTCTCTCTCTCTCTCTCTCTCTCTCTCTCTCTCTCTCTTCCATCCCTCCCTCCCTCTCTCTAAAATCACTCAATTAAAAAAAAAAAGAAGAAGACAAATGAGTAAATGACCTAATCTTTTTCATATCAACATTATTTGAATTAAATTTTAAAGTCAAGGACAGGTAGAACATTACAGATAGAAGTGAGAGAGCTAGGCAATGGAATATTTTAGGAAGATATACTTATTTAGAAACTGAATTTAAGTCCAAAGTGCTCCCCTTGATTTTGTCAGATTAAAAAAAAAGTTTAGGTGGAGAAGTGAAACTTTGTAAAAGATGAAGCTGAAAATTTTTACACATAAAGAGTAGCAATGGCCAAAACCGGTTTGGCTCAGTGGATAGAGCGTCGGCCTGCAGACTGAAAGGTCCCAGGTTCGATTCCGGTCAAGGGCATGTACCTGGGTTGCGGGCACATCCCCAGTGGGAGATGTGCAGGAGGCGGCTGATCGATGTTTCTCTCTCATCGATGTTTCTAACTCTCTATCTCTCTCCCTTCCTCTCTGTGGAAAATCAATGAAATATATTTAAAAAAAAAAAATTAAAAAAAAAAAAAGAGTAGCAATGGAGATTGCTAGAAGATCAAAGGAAGAAATATATAATGTTCCCAATATTCTTTCTGGTTAAAGAAAGGAAAAAGAAATGAGAGAAGACAGGGAAAAATAAATACAAGGAACACAGCTCTAAAACCTCCAAAACCTAGAAATCTAAAAATAACCTCACTACCAAAACCGGTTTGGCTCAGTGGATAGAGCGTCCGCCTGCGGACTGAAAGGTCCCAGGTTCGATTCCGGTCAAGGGCATGTACCTGGGTTGCGGGCATATCCCCGGTAGGAGATGTGCAGGAGGCAGCTGATCGATGTTTCTCTCTCATCGATGTTTCTAACTCTGTCTCTCTCCCTTCCTCTCTGTAAAAAATCAATAAAATATATTAAAAAATAAATAAATAAATAACCTCACTGCCAAAACCGGTTTGGTTCAGTGGATAGAGCCTCAGCCTGCGGACTAAAGGGTCCCAGGTTCAATTCCGGTCAGGGGCATGTAACTTGGTTGCAGGCACATCCCCAGTGGGGAGTGTGCAGGAGGCAGCTGATCGATGTTTCTCTCTCATCGATGTTTCTAACTCTCTATCCCTCTCCCTTCCTCTCTGTAAAAAACCAATAAAATATATATAAAAAAATAAAAATAACCTCATAATAAACTAAAATCTTTAACAGAAATTACTTCTATCACTTGGCTTTTTAAAAAAACTGTGGTAAAATATACATAATGAAATTTACCATTTTAACCATTTGTAAGTGTACAGTTCAGTGGCATTCAGTACATTCACAATGTTGTGCAACCATTATCACAATCCATCTCCAGAACTTCTTCACCTTCCCAAACTGAAACTCAGTGCCCATTAAACAACTCCCCATTCCCTTGGCTGACTATTTAAATGTCATTCCCACTCCTTTCTCTTTCCTGGCATGAGAAGGACATTTTACCCAGAGGGCACCCAGGGCACCCAGGCAAGGCAAGGAATCTCTGTTAACTCTGAACCCATAATTTCTTTTTCTTTTTAATATATTTTTTATTGATTTCAGAGAGGGAGAGATAGAAACATCAATGATGAGAGAGAATCATTGATTGGCCGCCTCCTGCATGTCCCACACTGGGGATCCAGCCCACAACCCGGGCATGCGCCCTGACCAGGAATCGAACCGTGACCTCCTGGTTCCTAGGTGGACGCTCCACCACAGAGCCACTGTGGCCGCGCTGAACACCCATAATTTCTTTTACAGTTTACCTGCACTCAAAAAAAACTTAAGACTCGGTTTAACTTGAAACTTAAGCCAAAGTAACATTCTTTCAACTATGAACAAGACAGATCTAGAATTTATGACCCTGTGTGAAAGCGGCAAAGTTAACAGAATAACTACGCTGGCAGAGATCGTGAACAGCGGTGAAGAGGGGCATATCCAGATGCCATGTCCTGGGAAAGCCTCTCTGGGAGGTGACAGCTAAAATAAGACCTGAAACCGCGGGAATGTACGTGAATGATTCATCTTTTCCTCTCCCAAAGCGCCTAGCTTTATGCCTTCCATGTAACCTGTACAGCTTTCTTGGCCCCAATTTCCTCATTCCTGAAATGAACTGCCAAGATTCCTTCCAAACACAAAACTGTGTTGGTGTGACGAGGGTAAACTACATGTCGGTGAAACGGACGTGGGGGTGGGGGCAGTAGACGCAAAAACTGAGTGCAGAAATGACTGCAAGACCCTCACTCCCCAAAGCAGGATCGGATCGAGCGCAAAGGCACAAGGGCACACCCACAGAACTTAGATGCTGAGATGACCTGCCCCTTGGACAATATACAGGCAGAAATCGTTCCCTCGGCCCGGGGAAACATACGGCAGAAGCAAGAGAGACTGAGTCGTGTACAGAACTACCCTAAAAAGCTCCATTCTCATTCTCCTGGGGACTCGGTCGGCGAGGGGCCGGGAAGGTCCCCCGCTTCTCGAGCTGCCAGGACAACCGTACCAATCTGGGCAGAAAGAGGATGAGGTCGGCCACCAATCCCACCTACGGTGGGAGAGAAGAGTGCCAGGCGATCAAAGATGAGAGAGCCAACCCTCGAATGGGGCGCCCCAGAAGAAAGCTACAAGAAGGCGCCTCCTTTCCCCCAGCAGTAATCTCCGCCGCCGCCCTCCGTGAAGCTGAGGCTAAGGGAGCGGCTGGGCCCGGATGGGTCTCCCGCCGGTGCCCGCCTCCACCCGGCTGGTGCACAGCAGGGAAACTGAGCTCCTCCGGAGCATCTGTGAAGAATCGGCGAGCTGAAGACGCACCCGCATCCCGAGGAAGAGAAGTGGGAGGGGGAAAGAGAGGAGCCCAAGTTCGACCGGCAGACGGAGAGCGGAAGTTGCCAGGGGGGCAGGCGAAGGATCTCTAAGCCGGCTCTTACCCTCTGTGGGAGACGCCATCTTCCAACCCATGTCACGTGACGCGACCAACCGTCGGCGGGAAAGCGAGGACCCACAAGCCACGCCCCCAAAGGGAAACCGTATCCCCACTCCCAGGCCCCATCTCGTTTGCCCCTTCTAGGGCGATCTTTGCCTAGCCCCGCCCCCAGTGCTGGCCACACCCCCCACGCACTGGAGGAGGCGGAGCGCCTGCCAATTCTAGGAAGGCTTTATTTACTTTCCTCAGTGAGGGGGCGGGGCCGCAGTCGTCCCTGTGGCCAATCGGGGCTCCCTGTGAAGGGGCGTCTTCCCTGCGTGCTGAATGGAGAGCACCCAAGTGAGGGGCGTCCTCCCTACCTCCGCCAACAGAATTTGCTGAGGTGGGAGAGGGGAGAGAGCGCTTTCACTTCTGACCAATCGCCTGTCCCCAAAACTGGGCATGAGGGTGGAGTCAGGAGTTAGAGCGAGTGATTGGCCGGGGAAATGGTCCTCTCCACCAATGAAGAGGCGCGGCAGGATGAAGGGCCAAGTCTGGCAGCTGCAGTTCAGCTGGGGAGTCACGGGGAGTAGAGGCACCGGGAACCATGGCGGCGGTAGTGGCGGCGGCGGCTGTGCGGGCTCGGATCCTGCAGGCGAGTGAGGGTGGCGCCGAGGGGTCGTGAAGCTAGGAACTGGGTCGTTTCCGTCCACTCTCTGAGTCAACCCCATCCTGGCCGACCCTGCTGTTCCCACAAGACCTGTCCGGCCCTGTCCCACCCCCCGCGCTCCAGGTCCGTCCTCGTGGGATCCAGCCCCGGACCATCGTGGGATCCTGCCCCTCCCACCCTTTTACTCTTGAGCCTCCCCTCCTGTGGCTCTGGCCCGCTCTCCTCCTCCAGCCCTGCCCCCTTTCTGCTGCCACGCTCGCTTGCACTCACCTCTCCTTGGTCCTCTCACATTCTTTCCCCTTCACCTCTGTACCTGCCACCTCGCTGCCCCGAAACTCCCCTCTTGGTCACCTTTTTAAGAGCCTTTTCACCTGCCAGGAGCGTCCAGATTGTGTCCTTCCCCCACCCTTACTTCACTGTCTCTAATCCGAGCTGCAGGGGGTGGGGAGGAGGAGGCACTGAGGGGCGAGGGTCAGTGGGTGAACTTTGAATCTGCTTCTGGAAGCTTACGCCAGGTTTCCCCCCAAAGCAGCCCTGTGCTGTTTTCCCCAGCTGTGGCCATTTGCTTTTCCATCGCCCCGGGCTGCCCCCTTGCTTGCTGAGACGTTGTTAAACTTCTTCTCAGCAGAGTTATAGTGTTCGTATTGGCAGTAAACAAGAAGATATCTAGGCTACTAGTTGGCCCCAAGCACGTGCCAGGGACTAAACAAATCTGACACAGGTGAGAGAAAACAAGTGTAAGTCCCAAGTTCCTGCTCCCAAGTCCGTTTTTAGCGGGCCGGTGCACCCTCAGCATTGCCCATGGGCACGGGGTCCGGGGGACTGGGTCCTAGGGAGCCAGCCCGAGAGGTGATAGAGCTGCAGGAGCTCGTGCCTGAGGCCTGTGACCTCCGGCTCTCTCCATAGCCGTTCCCTTCTTGTTCGTGGCTGAGCAAGGACTTAGAAGAGGAGGCGAGATTTACTGCCGACAGCATGGCCCTCTTACTCATTACCTCCAGCCCGGGGACTTCTTCCTTCATATTACTGGACTTTTACATAATACTGGTATTTACCACTTTTTAGTGAATTCTACTGCAGAAACGTAATCGTTTTTAAGATTCTTAGCAGAGTCAGCAAAGGTCTATGTTGAAATATGCTATTTAATGGGAAAGTGTGGAGAATGGATTGGACGGGTGTGTCAGATGGATGATATAGCGTCACTTGTATATTTCTTACTGTGATCCAAGTTTTTTTTTTCTAGTGTCCTATTTTAGTAGAGGACAAGTGAAATTTCCACCCTGTGTTTTCCAGTTCTCCTTGAAATCTTTCAATGAAATTTCCTTTTTTTCCTTTGCCTCCTTCCCCTCCCCTCAATCACAATGAATCATTAAGAAGAGAGCCTTAACCCTGAACAGCTGCTCAGCCCTGGGACAGAAGGGTTTCGAGTTCGATTCCCCGTCAAGGGCACATGCGGGAGGCAACCAATCGATGTGTCTCTCTCTTGTCATTGTTTCTCTCTCTTTCTCTGTCTTCCCCCCTTCTCCCTCCTTTCCACTCTCTCTAGAAATCAATGAAAAAAATATCCATGGGTGAGGATTAAAAAAAAGAGAGGGAGAAAGATCCTTAAGAGGGCACTATATTTTGTCTTTTTCATCAAGGTGAAGAACCTCCCTCCCCATATACTTTATTTTGGAAATACACTATTTTCTTAGTCATTTAGAGAAACTTCTGAGTTTAGAACAGAAATAGTAATCCTTAAGCCAAATAGTAGTTACTGTAACATGAAACTTTGATAAAGAGTAGCCTAGCCGAAACCGGTTTGGCTCAGTGGATAGAGCGTAGGCCTGCGGACTGAGGGGTCCCAGGTTCGATTCCGGTCAAGGGCATGTACCTGGGTTGCGGGCACATCCCCAGTAGGGGGATGTGCAGGAGGCAGCTGATCGATGTTTCTCTCTCATCGATGTTTCTAGCTCTCTATCTCTCTCCCTTCCTCTCTGTAAAAAAAACAATAAAATATATTTTTAAAAAAAAAGAGTAGCCTAGATTCTGGCAGTCATGAATATTAGAGGACTATCGCCCTAGCCAGTTTGGCTCAGTGGGTAGAGCGTTGGCCTGCGGACAGAAGGGTCCCAGGTTGATTCCAGTCAAGGGCATGTACCTCAGCTGCAGGCTCCTCCCCAGCCGGTCCTGGCTGGGGTTCATGCAAGAGGCAACCAATCATTGTGTTTCTCTCACATCGCTATTTCTCTCTGTCTTTCCCTCTCTTCCACTCCAAAAATCAATGGAAAAATAGCCTCAGGTGAGGATTTTAAAAAAATTTAGAGGACTGTCAAACTGACCTGTAAAGGAGAGAGTTCATGTTTTCAGTTATTTAAGTACATAGTCAACATAACATCTCTATTATGGTTGTTAGTAAAATTTAGAACTTCTGCTTCTTGTGGTATTTTCTGATTCCCATTCAGAAAACCAGTCTTAAAGAGTCTCAGTGATTTGCCTCAGTGATGAGGTATAAAAAGCACAGCCTTAGCTGGGTGGCTCAGTTAGTTGCGGGTTTGATTCCAGTCAGGGCACAGAGCTAGGTTGTGGGTTCAATCCCCGGTCAGGGCACATGCCAGAGGCAGCTGATTGGTGTTTCTCTTTCTCATCCATGTTTTTTCCTCTCTTTCTCAATTCATTCGTCTCTCCATTAAAAAATCAATAAAAACATATCCTAAGGTGAGGATTTTTTTAAAAAAGCACAGGCTTCACAATTATACTGAGATTCTATCCCAGCTCCACCATTTCTAGTTTTTAAGAATTTTGAAGAAAAAGAAAAGAATGTTTGTGAAGATTAGAATTCATGAATATAACGAAGTAAGTTACCTGACACTTATGGCTGAAGTCATCCAAGGTTTCCCAACTAGGAACTAAATTCAGGACTTAAGTCTTGGCATCTCTTTCTGTGTCAGGCACTCTCCCCAGGCTTTGGGAAAGAAGAGGTAAATAAAATACTCACTGAAAGCTTCCCTATTTTAATGCAACAGTAACTGCTAAATAATAGGAGTGCACAGAGTACTACAGGAACATATGGAAAGAGCCCCAGGCTCAACCTGTGCAGTTCAGGAAAAGCTTCCAAAAGGAGTTGGCTCTGGGCTTGAGTCTTGCAAGACTAGCAGGCCTTTAGCCAAGGAGAGAAGGGAGTTCCTGGTAAAGCAAGTACAAAAATAAACGCTTAGAGAACAAGAAATTTGGTGTGACTGGACTTAGGGTAGTTTCTTCAGCAACAGTGCTAATAATTGTTTCTTAGGAAATGAAGAAACTATAGATATAACCTGTCAAAAACTATTTGGTAGATTTTTTGTTTTTGTTTTTTCTTTTTAAATATATTTTTATTGATTTCAGAGAGGAAGGACGAGGGAGAGAGAGACAGAAACATCAAGGATGAGAGAGAATCATCAATTGGCTGTCTCCCACACGCCCCCCGGGCCCCTAACCTCCCCTCCCAACCCCACTTCGCGCCCCCCCCCCCCTCGCTGGGGACTGAGCCTGCAACCCAGGCATATGCCCCTGACCGGAATCAAACCCGGGATCCTTCAGTCCACAGGCCAACGCTTTATCCACTGAGCCAAGCCAGCCAGGGCTATGTGATAGTTTTATTATACCAAATGCAATGCCTTTTATGCCTTCTTCACAGCAGGGAGGCTCTGTGCACGTGAAAAAAATAAAACTAAGTAACCTAGAATGCTCAAGTTGACTGATGCATGCATTTTCTGCCCTATAAGAGAGTATTCATGAAACAAAATTAATATCAAACGATTGCTTGGTGTATACTCATTCTTTCATTTGGCAAAATATTACTGAGTGCTTATTCTATTCCAGAACAGTGCAAGGGGATGAGGACCATCTAGTGATCTAAGGGGAGAGAGACTTAGTAATTAAGATGTTATTCCATAATACGACATGAGAAATAAAGGAATTCAGGTGTTTTATGAACTCTACAATTAGGTACTTCGCTTAGACCTGAGATTAAGACTGAAAAACTTCTAAGTAATGCCCCGGTCAGTATGGCTCAGTTGGTTGGCTGTCATCCTATGCATCGAAAAGTTGCTGGTTCCACTCCTAGTCAGGGTACATGCCCAGGTTGCAGGTTCAATCCCCGGGAGGGGGCATACCAGAGACAGCCAATCGATATTTCTCTCTCCCTCTCCCTGCCTCTCTCTCTAAAAATCAATGAAAACATTTAAAAAGAAAATTTCCAAGTCTGCTACTTCTCTCACTCTCAGGAGTTAACCTTGTTTCTTCTACTTCAGAGGAAACAGAAACCATAAAGTGAGAACTTCCTCAACTTCCTACTAGCAAACCTACAGAACTGATCCAAAGTGATGGCTAAGTAGAGAAGAAAGTAGGAATGAATCAAGCAAGGGAATGAAGAAATTTCAGGCAAGAAGCAGCAGCCTGTGCAAGAACAAAGAGAGCTCAAACTATGTTCCAAATGGCAGGAACATAGCACAGAGGAACCTATGAAACTAGAGAAGTAAAGATACTATGTAAGTCTTCTCAGCAACATCAAGATTAGTCTTTATCTCTAGGGCAGTGGGAAGCCATTGGAGGGTTTTAAACAAAAGGATGGTCTAACCAGATTTGTGTTTTAGAAAGACCCTCTGGCTATGAGATGGAAACTAGGTTCACAAGATTTAAGATTGAAATCCAGGTTAGGGACAATGATGGTACGGGTGATGGCAGGAGGGGTAAAGGAAAAGTGGTGTATTCAAAGATTTCTGGGGGAACAAATTGCCTGGACTTATTTTATTCACTGTGAAGAGAAAGGGAGGAGTTGGGATGGCATTCAGGTTTCTGGTTGGGCAACTAGGTGAACAATAAGCAGTCCCATTCACTGCAAGGTGGCCTATAGGAAGCAGAAAGGTTGGTGGGAAGAAGATGAATTCAACCTTTACCTAAATAACAAGTAGAGATAGAGCAAAGACAGTTAGTTATGTGGATATTACCTGAAGAGGAAGATTCTGGCTAGGAACTACAAATTTGGGCATCATCAGGATCTAACTATTTAAGCCACAGGAGGAGATAAAATCACTCAAGGAGAGTATGCAGAATAAGAAGAAAAGAAGGCCTAAGACCCAATTCAAAGTGGCCAGGCAGAGGAGAATGAACTAGAAAAGAAGGCAGAGAAATAGCCCAAGAGAAAGAAGAGATACCCGGGTATCACAGAAGGCAAGTGAAAAGGGGGTTCAGGAAGGAGGACATGATTACTGTGTTATATAAAACTAGTGGCTCGGTGCACGAAATTCATGCACTCGAGGGGGGCGTCCATCAGCCCAGCCTGCGCCCTCTCGCAGTCTAGGAGCCCTCAGGGGATGTCCGACTGCCACGGAAGTGGGAGAGGCTCCTGCCACCACCGCTGTGCTTGCCAGTCTTGAGCGTGGCTTCTGGCTGAGTGGTGCTCCCCCTGTGGGAGCCACTGACCACCAGGGGGCAGCTCCTGTGTTGAGCATCTGCCTCCTGGTGGCCAGTGTGTGTCATAGTGACCAGTTGTTTTGCCATTCAGTCAATTTGCATATTAGCCTTTTATTATATAGGACTAGAGGCCCGGTGCACAAAAATTTGTGCACTTGGGGGGGAGAGGGGGTCCCTCAGCCCGGCCTGTGCCGTCTCGCAGTCTGGGACCCATCGGGAGATAACGACCTGCTGGCTTAGACCTGCTCCCGGGTGGCAGAGGGCAGGCCCAATCCCTAGGTGCAGCCCCTGGTCGGGGTCAGAGCAGGGCCGATTGGGGAGTTGGGGCACCGCCCCCTGTCATACACAGAGCAGGGCGGATCGGGAGGTTGCGATGCCACCCCTAGTCACGCTCAGGGTAGGGCCAATTGGGGGGTTGGGGCACCGCCCCCTGTCACACTCAAGGCAGGGTCGATAGGGAGTTGCAGCGACACCCCCTGTCACGCACAGAGCAGGACCCATCAGGGGGGTTGGGGCTCTGTACCCTGTCAAACACAGAGCCGCAGGGTGGTCAGGGGGTTGGGGAGCACCCTCCTGTCACGCACAGAGCAGGGCCCATCAGGGGGTTGGGGAGCTCCCCCCTGTCACGTACAGAGCAGGGCCGATCAGGGGGTTGAGGCGCTCCCCCCGTCACTCACAGAGCAGGGCCGATAGGGGGTTGGGGCGCCGCACCCTGTCACACACAGAGCCACAGGGCGATCAGGGGGTTGGGGAGCTCCCCCCTATCACTCACAGAGTAGGGCCAATAGGGGAGTTGGGGCACCGCCCCCATCACACACAGAGCAGGGCCCGTGGGGGGCAGGGGGGCGGTTGGGGCGCCGCACCCTGTCACACACAGAGCCGCAGAGCGATCAGGGGGTTGGGGAGCTCCCCCCTATCAGGCACAGAGCAGGGCTGATCAGGGGGTTGGGGCGCCTTCCCCTGTCACGAACAGAGCAGGGCGAATAGGGAGGTTGTGGCCCTGCCCCCTGTCACACACAGAGCTGCAGGGCGATCAGGCGGTTTGGGTGCTGCCCCCTGTCACGCTGATCCTGGTGCCAGGAGGCCTCGCTGCTCCGCTGATCCTGGTGCTGGGAGGCATATTACCCTTTTACTATATAGGATAGAGGCCTGGTGCACGGGTGGGGGCCGGCTGGTTTGCCCTAAAGGGTGTCCTGGATCAGGGTGGGGGTCCCCACTGGGGTGCCTGGCCAGCCTGGATGAGGGGATGATGGCTGTTTGCATCTGGTCACACCCCCTTCAGGGTGGGGGTCCCCACTGGGGTGCCTGGCCAGTCTGGGTGAGGGGCTGAGGGCCCTTTTCAGGCTGGCGGGTGACTGAAGCTCCCAACTGCTCCTTTTTTTCTTTTTTTTTAATTCTGGGCCAGCTTTAGCTCTGAGGCCTCGGCTGCTGAAAGCAGGTTTCTGGCCTTTGTTTACCTTCTGTATTTGATACAATGTTGCGGTACTGCTGGCTGAAGCCTGGCTGACTAAAGCAGGTTTCTGGGGTTTTGTTTAGCTTCTATATTTGTTACAGTGTTTCTTAGAGAGCAGCTGAGAGGCTGGCAAGGCAGGCGGGGAACCTGGCTTCCTCCGTCACTGGAGCAAGCAAGCCTCCCTGTTCACTTTAAGCTGCCTGGCTGCCGGCCGCCATCTTGGCTGGCAGTTAAATTGCATATCTCAGTGATTAGCCAATGGGAAGGGTAGCGGCCGTACGGCTAATTACCATGTTTCTCTTTTATTAGATAGGATTTCCTAGGGTTGAGAGACCAAAGAAAGGCCGACAATTCCTTTATTACATAAAGTTTATTAAGGGAACTTATATCTGAGGCTCCTCTTGTGTGACTGGAAGATGGTATGGATATCCTTTGTGCCATGTGGCAGGCACTAAAGCAAGCATGTCAAACTCGCAGCCCACAATGAATATTTTTGCGGCCCAGCCAATATAGTGGTATGTAAAAAAACGTTTTAATAAAATTTTGTAACTTTATTTTTACAATATTCTGTTAGACATAATTATTAATAACAAACTACAACATTGGCTAATGACAGATTACTATAATCATGTTGTATGATTTTTTTCCCTTATGCTCCTTACTCGCAGGTGAACCATTTCTCCCCACTAATATTAGCAGTGAATATTTTAGCAGCTGATTGCCACGTCATTAGTCTTGTATTGACTTGTTTGGTGTGCGCAATAGGAAATATTTTGCTTCCGGAGAACAAGAAAAACAGGTTTATTTGCGTTATGCTTATTTGTGCAGTTATTCAGTGTCTGGTAGGTTAATGTTCAAGAAAAAATATTAATTTTTATTAAAATTTTCTATTTTATGTTAACGATTACCAATTTATATCAGCCCTTTGTATTTAGGATGTCTCTATCTAAATGAATCTATATTTCTATGAAATTTGAAGCTTTTGTTTTTTTGCAGCCCACATGAACTTAAACCTTGTTTATTTGGCTCATGTTAGCCTTTGAGTTTGACATGCTTGCACTAAAGGGTTCTATAGGACAGGGCTGGATGGATGGGGTACTGGGGCATGAGCTACCCCAGATAAATGTTTTGTGTGCTTGATTGGGGTGGGGGTAATGACCTATTCCAGGAACCAGCATGCTTGGGGCATAGGTGAGGGGTAAATTAGATAGTCCTTGGGGGGATTTGGGGGAAGCAATCTTTGTTCTGGCCAGGATCTAGTTAGCAGGGCCCCATAGCTGTCATATCATGGCATAGTCTCTCCTCCACACCATGTCACCTTTGCTAAGAGGTCAAGTATGATGGAGTCCATGGGATGTAGGAAGTTACTGGTGTTCAATCATGAAGGTTGGAATAGATTGAAGAGTTAGTGGGAGATGAGGAAATAAAGGTAATTAGTATAGAGCAGCGGTGGCCAACCGGTGGTCTGTGAGGTCCTCATGGTTGGCGACCGCTGGTATAGAGAACCCTTGCTATTGGATGGAGAGAGGTTTATAAGATACAGGAAAGAAAGGATAATTGATGGAAGTGTAAGAATCAGCAGAAGCCCAGGCCAGGTGGCTCAGCTGGTTGGGCGTCATCCTGTGCACCAAAAGGTTGCTGGTTCAATTCCCTGTCAGGGCACATGCCTGGGTTTCAGGTTCAAACCCCACTAGGGAGCAAGCAGGAGGCTGCTGATCAATGTTTCAATCTCACATCAATGTTTTTCTCTCCCTCTCTCTTCCTCTCTCATGAAAAATCCATAAAAATATATTTTTTTGTTTTGTTGTTAATCCTCACCCAAGGATATTTTTCCATTTGTTTTTAGAGAGAGTGGAAAGGAGGGGGAGGGAGAGACAGAGAGAAACATTGATGTGAGAGAGACACATTGATTGGTTGCCTTCCACATGCACCCCAACTAGGGCCGGGTATCAAGCCTACAACCGGTACGTGCCCTTGACTGGAATCAAACCCAGGATCCTTCAGTTTGCAGGCTGAGGCTCTGTCTACTGAGCCAAACCAGCTAGGGCAATACAAATATTTGTTTTTTAAAGAAAGAAATTTTTAAAAAGAGGCAGCAGGAAAGGTTGGTGCATGGATTAGCCTTAGACTGGAGGACAGACACCATTTCAGTCAGTCCACAGATATTGATTGTGCACCTCTGTCTCCCAGTCACTTTGTTCTCACAGAGCTTGCTAGCTACTTTCTCCATTATAAGAGGGAGGAAGGAAAAAAGATGGGTATAATTGCAGGTCAATTTTATAGATTTGCTAGTAGGAAATTCTCATCTCATGGTTTCTGTTTCCTCTGAAATTTAGGAAAGCAAAGTCAGCTCCTGAGAGTAAGAGAGGAAGTAGCAGAGTTGGAAGTTTTAAGAGAATTGATAAGTTTTTAAATAGCAAGGAGTGAGAACAAGTAAGTATTTATAATAATAAAATAATAATGACAGTTATTATACACCAACCATTTTTCATATCTGTACAGTTTTGATCACAATAACTCTGTAAAGCAACCAGTACGTGCCTTGACCGGAATCAAACCCAGGACCCTGCAGTAGGAGGATTGACGCTCTATCCACTGAGCCAAGCCGATTAGGGCAATACAAATATTTTTAAAGCAGGTGAACAAGCCTATCCTAATGGAACTTACAATCTTTTGGGTAACAAGTACTTAGGCAATTACAACAGAGACAAATAAACCTGATAGGGGAAGTATTGGCTGCTATGGAAGTACAAAAAAAGGAACACCTAAACTAATCTGAGGTGGAGGGAGTCCAGCCCAATGCACCTTTCTTTTGTTCAATAGATATTTATTGAACACCTACTATGTACCACATTGGTATTGGGGACATGGCTATAAATAAGACACAGTGGGCTCCAGGACAGTGTTGGTGGTTTGAGATAGCTTTTGTGAGGAATGGAGGAAGAAGCAGAATAGGCATTTAGAAGGTTTATCTGCTGGTCCAAAGGACCCTTTCTCCTGGACAGTGCTACAGATGCACAAATTCTTGCACTTCATGCAGCGCTAAACCTTTGGTTAATGTGTTCTCTATTCAGACAAGAAAATAGGTTAGTATATTCCAGTCCAAGGTATTTCATATTGCTCACTTTGATTAGACTTTAATATTTATTAAATCAACATCCATAACATATACATATACAAACTATTTATTTAGAGTAAGCATGTCAAACTCAAAGGCTAACACGGGCCAAATAAACAAGGTTTAAGTTTATGTGGGCCGCCAAAAAACAAAAGTTTCAATTTTCATAGAAATACAGGTTTATTTCGATAGAGACATGCTCAATACAAAGGGCTGATATAAATGATTAATTGTTAACATAAAATAATAGAACATTTTAATAAAAATTAATATTTTTTCTTGAACATTAACCTATCAGACACTGAATAACTGCACAAATTAATAAGCATAACACAAATAAATGTATTTTTCTTGTTCTCCAAAAGCCAAAATATTTCCTGTTGCATACACTAAATAAGTCAGTCCAAGACTAATGATGTGGCAATAGGCTACTAAAATATTCGCTGCTAGTATTAGTGGAGAGAAATGGTGTGCCTACGCGTAAGGTGCATAAGGGAAATGAACACAACACAATTATAGTAATCAGTCAGGGAATGTTATAGTTTGTTATTGATAATCTATATATATAAAAGGCTAAGTGACCAGCTGACAGGCCAGTACCTATGACATGCACTGACCACCAGGGGGCAGACACTTAATGCAGGAGCTGCCGAGCAACAGCAACTTTGCAGAGTGGCCTCTCTTCAGGACTCCTCAGGGGATGTCGGACTGCTGGTTTTGGCCCAATCCCCGCAGGCCAGGCCAAGGACCCCACCTGCCAGGGGGACCCCATTCACTCCACAGACACCCTTCGAGCCCCAGCACTGCCCCAGGTGCGGCTGGCTGAGGAGGGACCATGGGAGGTTGGCTAGGGCATGTCGAGCCCATCTCGCCTAGCCGGCCACCTTCTAATTAATTTACTTTCAATGTGCACAAATCCGTGCACTGGGCCTCTAGTTATGTATAACAGGATATTATAAAAATTAAGTTATGAAATTTTATTAAAATGTTTCTTACATACCATTATATTGGCTGGGCTGCAAAAATATTTGTTGTGGGCTGCATGTGGCCCACAGGCCCCAAGTTTGACATGCTTGATTTAGAGAGTTATTGTAACTGACCCCCCCTCCAGTATTCTAATCATAATCTCTAAAGTACATGTGGCATTTTAAAAAATAGCTTTATTGAAATGAAGTTGACAGAAACTATATATATTTAAAATGTACAATTTGATAAGTTTTAATATTTGTATACACCTATGAAAACATCATCACAATCAAGATAATGATTATATCCATATCCCCAAAAGTTACCCTCTACCCTCTGCTCTCCACCTCCCACATCATCTTTAGGTAACCACTGATGTGCTTTCTGACACTACAGATTAGTTTGAATTTTCTAGTTTTATATAAATGAGTTATCCAGTATGTACTCTTTTTATGTATGACTTCTTTTACTCAATATAGTTACTATAATTATTCAGGTTGTTTCATTCATTTTTATTGCTGGGTCGTAGTCCAATGTATGGATATACCACATCAGTTCCTCTATTCACCATCTAATGGTAGACATTTGGTATATTTCTAAGTTTTGGGCTGTTATAAATAAAGCTGCTCTGAACATTTGTGTTTAAGTATTTGTATGGGCATGTTATACTTATATTTGATACTTGGTTATATACTGTCTTACATTCAATGCCTGTTGTGTTGGATACCATGCTAAGTGTTTTCATATTGTTAGATTTATGGTGACTACATTTTCCAGGCCAAAAATAAGGAAAATATGGACTAATGAAAGAAAAAGTATTTTTAATTGATATTAGAGAGAGAAAGGGAAATAGAGAGAAAGAGAGACAGACATCGATGTGCAAGAGAAACATCCATTGGTTGCCTGACATAGGCACCACCACCAGGGATTGAACTCGCCACTAAGTATATGCCCAGGGACAATGCTCAACCAAACTGAGCAGCCGGGCTGGGCGAAAATTATTTTTTTTAATCAGGACTGTCCAGAAATTCAGGATACTGTCATTATAGTTTCTTGTTTTCACAATTTGCTGTATCTCAGTCTCATGTCTTTTCCAAGATTATATGACCCTTGAGAACAACAAACATCCAAGTCCTTTTTCATATATCCACAGTAACTAGGATAATATTAAGCATATAGTAGCCATTCACTACATTTTTAATAAGTTTCTGCTCTCATTTATAAAAATCATTCTTTTCCCTCACAGGTTTCTTCCAAGGTGAACTCCACTTGGTATTCAGCATCCTCCTCCTTCTCTTCTTCAGTGGTGAGTTTATTTGGCATGAAAAGTTGACTTCTGAGAAGGAATCCAGTATAATTTTTGGATATTCCTCAAAATTTATCTTCTTTATGTAACTGTGATCATAGTGTATGTGAAACTTTCTTCTGGGTTTTCTTATTTATTATGTCTATTATGTTAGGATTTTAATGGCTGCATTATATTCCATTAAGCATACATAACCTGAATTAACTCATATTTTCTCCATATGACATTTAGATTGCTTCAGTTTTTCAATATTGTTTTACAAACATTTATTTACAGTTTGTTTGCTTTTTTACTTCTTTTAGATTATTTCTTTTCTGAAATAAGATAACTATGTTAAAAGTTACAAACATTTTCATGGCTTCTAGATGTTTAGTTGATCCCGCCAGGTGATTTGTACTTCTTGACAACCTTTAGAGTTGTTTTTACAGACCTTGTGTCTGTCAGCCATATGTAGTACCTAAAATCTAATAAATAGGACTGGTGCTCAAAATCCTTTCTATAAAACATGCACACACTGTAGCACAGTCGCCCTTCACCTTTTTTGGTCCACAGACCCTTTTGAAAATTTAACAAAAGTAAGCTCAGAAAAAAAATCACAGATAAAAACATTTTAAAAATATTTTGATCATAGCCCTAGCCTGTTTGGCTCAGTGGATAGAGGTTGGCCTGCGGACTAATAGGTTCCGGGTTCGATTCCAGTCAAGGGTACTTACCTTGGTTGCAGGCTCCTCCCCAGTCGAGGCACCTCCCAGCCCTGGTCAGGGATCATGCAGGAGGCAGCCAATCGATGTGTTTTTCTTACACCAATGTTTCTCTTAGTCTTCCCCTCTTCCACTCTCTCTAAAAGATCAATGGAAAAATATCCTTGGGTGAGGATTAAAAATAGACATATATTTTGATCATAAAGGTAAGACATTATCATGCTAATGTAACAGAACATCAGATGGACCAAGAAGTCACAATAGAGCTAATCTTTGTTAACACACAATCTGCTGCTTTTTTAGTGTAAGCTTTACAGTGACATGTGTTTACTCATGAAGTTCCACTGTGTGATTAGCTGGGAATTTCCCATTTTCAGAGAGATCACAGTTTTCAGAGACTCTGCCACATCTTAACAAACACTATAAACAAGTCTATTGTGTATCGCTTTGGGAGTGGCAACATTTCTAAAGAGCAGTAGATTCCTTATCAAGCCAAATTCCTTCCTTTTTGTGATAGTGAGAGAGAAAAGTAAAACAATTAACTAATACAGTATTTTGTGTGTGTGTGTGTGTGTGTGTGTGTGTGTTATTGTTGTTTTTTCCAGCCAACTGTAAAGCTCTTCATTGATGGGAAATTTGTTGAATCCAAAAGTGACAAATGGATCGACATCCACAACCCAGTAAGCAAAGCTGCTTAAACTGACTAGCCTAGAATCCTGGGAACATGGGGGGAAAGTGGGGACCTGGGTGTCTATCGTGAAGCACATAGTGTTGCCTTTGTAGCCATGAAAAATGGAGAAGGCGAGGCCGGGGCAAAGGATGATGTGCTGCTTTTTCCCATCAGGCCACCAATGAGGTCATTGGTCGGGCCCCTCAGGCCACCAAGGCTGAAATGGATGCAGCTGTTGCCTCCTGCAAACGTTCTTTTCCCGCATGGGCAGACACTTCAGTATTAAGCCGTCAGCAGGTTCTGCTTCGCTATCAACAACTTATTAAAGAAAACTTGGTAAGAAATCTGAATGACACCATTTTCCAAACTGTTGTCTATAGGAGACTTGTCACACCCACAGAGGCCCTTTTAGCTGCACTCCCTTACTATTCAGTCCAGAGAGACGTAGATCATGGTTCTCTTTCTCATGTTACTTCTCCCCAGTTTTGTCCTTCCTTTGCTGCCTGAGAACTAAAAGGAGACACACCCTTGTATTGGTTTCTATTTGTGTGTTTTCTCTCTAGAAAGAAATTGCCAGGTTAATCACTCTGGAACAAGGGAAGACCCTAGCGGATGCTGAAGGAGATGTGTTTCGAGGCCTTCGTAAGCTGGGTGTCCCTCCTGGGGAGCTTCAGGGACATTTGGAAAAGGAGCAAAAGAAAATGGGAGGCAAAGATCCCTTAATGAGGGATTGCTTCTTCCTTTATGTTGATTTTGTTATCCCATGATATCTTTTTTAATACTTGTGGAAAATGGCAATACTTCTCAGCAATCTATGAAATTGGTTTACTTCATTTTTTGTTTTACTCAACTGACCTTCCAGTAGGTATGTACATTTCACTGTCTTTTTCCCATTTAGAGAATCTCATTTTGCACAAGCCCTTCTCTCATGGAAGGTCAAGTCAGTGTTTCTTCGCTCTGTCCTTGGCCTGAGCCACTCCCTGCCCTCAGGGCTTATTGGAGTGTGACCAAGGCAGGTAGTGTACCCTGTGGGCAGCTGCTGGCCTGACTGCTTCTTCTCTGTTGCAGAGGTGGTTGAGCATGCCTGCAGTGTGACATCCCTCCTGCTGGGAGAGACCATGCCATCCATCACCAAAGACATGGACCTTTATTCCTACCGTCTGCCTCTGGGGGTGTGTGCAGGCATTGCTCCATTCAATTTTCCTGCCATGATCCCCCTTTGGATGTTTCCCATGGCCATGGTGTGTGGAAATACCTTCCTAATGAAGCCATCAGAGCGAGTCCCTGGAGCAACTATGCTTCTTGCTAAGTTGCTTCAGGACTCTGGTGCCCCTGATGGAACACTGAACATCATCCATGGACAACATGAAGGTAACTGCCTTTCAGCACATGGCACTTAATCTGGCTTCCCAAATATCAAGGTGTTGAGTGGTGATGGGTGTTCTAGAATGAGGAACCTAGGGATGAAGGGATTTACTAAGTTACCTCCATGTTTGAAGGTAATATTTGTTAACTGTTTTGCTGTCTGTGTGCTAAGGTAACTAACTAGGGAGTAGCAGTGCTTCTTGCCCTACGAAATACATTGGGACAAAGAAATATGGATTAGGGCATGACACAGATAAGATTAAAGAAAAAGTTTTCACTTTAATATTGAGATAATTTATGAGGATTTTTAATTCAGAGACTCACTTTATGGACCTCAGAGAGACTAAAAGCCTTCTAATTCATATAATAATAGCTACTACTTAAAAATTGCTTCTGTGTTTCAGGCACTGTTTCTTGTATCTTACATATATTACTTCATTTAATCTTTATAAGAACCCATTTAGATAGATGCTATTTTTCCATTTTACAGATAAGAAAATTGAAGCATAATGAAATTAAGTAATTTGCCCAAAGTCACACTGCTAAAACCTATCAGAGCCAAGATGTATATATCCAGGAAGGCTGAACCTGGTTTTTACTTTTAAATATAGTCATGTGGCACATAACGATGTTTTGGTCAACAACAGACTGCATATACAACAGCGGTCCAAAAAGATTATAATAGAGTTGAAAAATTCTTATCACCTAGTGACATTGTAGTCATGGTAACATTGTAGTGCAATGCATTACTCACAAGTTTGTGGTGATGCTGGTATAGAAAAGTATAGCATATGCAAAGATGTATAATACATACTACTTAATAATGATAATAAATGACTATATAACTGATTTGTGTACTTACTATGCTATTCTCTTTGGTATTTTAGAGTGTACTCTTTCTACTTAAAAGAGAAGTTTGCTGTAAAATAGTATGTCGTATTATGCTGGCAGCAGCCTTATACATCTCACGTTTACTGCACCTGTTGATTGCATCATTTTTTCTTGTGTTTAATTTAATCTCATATTTTTTATACAGAAGCATACTGTACAGGTTTGTAGCCTATGAACCACAGGTTATACCATCTAGGTTTGTGTAAGTGCACTCTATGATGTTTGCGCAATGACAAAATTGCCTAATGATGAATTTCTCAGAATGTTGTCCCCGTGGGTAAGCAGCACATGAGTGTACTATGCTATATTGTCTCTCACATAAGGGCACAGCAGTATCTGAGAGTTCTGGTATGTAGTGACAGTTGAAGAAATATCATATTCTTAAAGAACAGAAGTGTTGAGTATTGAAGAGCTGTTATTTTGGAGAATTTTATAAGAGTGTGTTTGAGCCCAAACTGAGGACAGTGCCAGGAAGCACGATCTCAAATGCTCTGAAGGGCTGTTACTTTCAAGAAAAATAGGAGTTGTAAGTTTCAGAGTTAAAAGTGGAAGTTCTGGAATAGCAAATGAGAAAAATAATGAAAGGGAAGATGCTAAATAGACTTTATAGTTTAAAGAATTAAGAGGACAAAGAAAGAGAGAACTTCAAAATAGGAATCCAGCATTGAAACACAAAAGTATGAAAATTTCTCCCTCATAGCAGTGGGGAAAGGGGAAATTTGTTATGTTGAGAAACCCATAGCCATTTGTTCCTTTATGGTGATCATTTATTTTCTTCTTAAAGCTGTGAACTTCATTTGTGATCATCCGGATATCAAAGCAATCAGCTTTGTGGGATCCAACCAGGCAGGAGAGTACATCTTCGAGAGAGGGTCAAGACATGGCAAGAGAGTTCAAGCCAATATGGTGACTTCTTATTCCTTTTTTCTCTCAAACTTTGTTATATGTATTAAAATTACCTAGAAACAGCCCTGCAGCAGAGGGGCCTCTCCTCCCACTCTAACGCCAATGTTTCCTTATTCCCATTTCATCCTGAATAGCTTTCCTTTAATGATGAATATTGTGATTAGGTTTATTCTAAGTGACTTTATTTAAAAAAAAAAGTGTGTGTGTGTGTGTGTGTGTGTGTGTGTGTGTGTATTATTGATTTCAGAGAGGAAGGGAGATGGAGAGAGAGATAGAAGCATCAATGATGAGAGAGAATCATAGATCGGCTGCCTCCTGCACACCCCTCACTGGAGATTGAGCCTGCAACCCGGGCATGTGCCCTGACCGGAAATCAAACCCTAACCTCCTGGTTCATAGGTTGATGCTCAACCACACTGAGCCACACTGGCTGAGCAACTTTAACTACCTTTTATCTTATACAACAAATTTGGGTGCCAAGGGGCACATTTTTCCCTGAGAATGTTATTCATATTCTTTGAGCTTTAGCAGTAACAGCTGAATTCTGGTTCTGGCCCTGTTTCTTCCTTCATACCATGCTTTTCTAGCCCTTTAACCTTTTCCTTCTTTTAAGGCGTATCCTAACTACTAATGTCAAAATATCTTCTTCCCTAAGAGTTCAGACTAAGGCACTGAGAAGAGCCCCATATCCCTATACGAGATGTGTGGTTTACTAGATTGCATAGTTTTGCTGTTCTCTTACTAGTTCCTTGTCAAATAGTTGGCAATTCTTTGATACTAAATATAAAGTCCAATTGCTACTTTCTTACTCTTTGACTAATGTTGCATAAAGGATAGCCACCCGAGCACAGGTTTGGAAACTTCATGATATGCCTACTTCTTTCTTTTCATGGCCGAGTGTATTTTGGCCAGTTTGACTTAAGTTCCTCCCAATTCACAGTATACCATGTGTAATGGGATAAAATTAAGTAGCTGGCATGGTATTTATCCATGTAGTCAATTATAGTTGTATCTGAAAACATCTGTGTGTGGAAATGACCAGATGTTATCCTTCATAGAAGTTCATGAGGATGTGTATCTAGAAGCAAGCCAGTCTGGGGAACCTCTTTCCAGAACTTGTTTATCAGGAGAGGGCTACCTCCTATTTTGTTTCATCTGGCTACTGGCATTATTACTGGCAGTTGTTTACACTGCTATTCATGTAACTGGAAACCCCAGCAGACAACAAATTCTTTCCTATCTAACAGGAAAGAGAAAGTAGTTCTCATTGGTCCTGGATGCAGTGTTAGCCTATCAGTTTGACTTAAATGTGATGATTGGGGTTCTTTTTTTTTTTTTTTAATCTAAATAAACATGTATCAGCTTATCAGCTGAGAAGGGGGAAAGTAATCTGGAGACTTGCTCAATGTCACCAAGACTTTAGCAGTATCAAAATAATCAGTCTATCCTCAAAGCAGCAAAGGATAAATTCTCTAGTCCTTACCTTAAATGTTCATTTGAAATTTCATATTATTTGCCTAATTTTTAGCATAATTTTATTTTGTCAAGGAAGATTCATGTGCTTTCTATATTTCCTTAGGGAGCCAAGAACCATGGGGTAGTCATGCCAGATGCCAATAAGGAAAATACACTGAACCAGTTGGTTGGGGCAGCATTTGGAGCTGCTGGTCAGCGCTGCATGGCTCTTTCAACAGCGATCCTTGTGGGAGAAGCTAAGAAGTGGCTGCCAGAGCTGGTGGAGCGTGCCAAAAACCTGAGAGTCAACGCAGGTAATATGTTATCTGCCTAGCTTCTTTAGACTTTGCATTTGTTAAAACCAAGCTCTTGGTTTTAACATTGGCTTTGGCCAATGGGAGCAATCATATCATTTTTTACCATTGCCTCTCTTTATACTGTACCTGTTTAGATTAATCTTTAGTTGGCAGTCATAAGTTATGTTAATGAAGACATTAAGCACTTCTGTGTTGTTTATAGGAGACCAGCCTGGAGCTGATCTTGGCCCTCTGATCACACCCCAGGCCAAAGAGCGAGTCTGTAATCTGATTGATAGTGGAACAAAGGAGGGAGCCTCCATCCTTCTAGATGGTCGAAATATTAAAGTCAAAGGCTATGAAAATGGCAACTTTGTTGGACCAACCATCATCTCAAATGTCAAGGTAAACAACTCTGGATTATTTGTTTCCCAGATATGGGAGCTGAAGGCACTTTAGAGGCTATGTTATCTCTTCCCTCCAATCCTATATAATAAAGAGCTAATATGCAAATGGTCATCGCTCCCTCACACCCTTGTGCCCTTGTGCCGGAACTGCTCAGACACTCAACACTGGGAAGAGAGTAATGGGGACCAGCCAGGTACAAATGAGCTCACAAGAGGAACGGGGACCAGCCAGGCACAAATGAGCTCACTAGAGAGGAATGGGTACCAGCCAGGCTGCGGCCCGGGAGAGGGACAAGCCGTCTACCCTGCGGTCCCGGATGCCAGCTCCTGTGGCTGCGGCCCAGGAAAGGGACAAGCCACCCGCCCCGCAGTCCCAGGCGCCTGCAGCTGCGGCCCAGGTGAAGCCACCCACCCACGGTCCCCTACGGCTGCAGCTGGCCCAGGCAAAGCTGGCCTGGGTCCCAGGTGCCTGCAACCAGCCAGAGGAGGGAATCCTGGGTCTGGGATGTGGGGTGAGGCAGAGGCGGTTAGGGGGCAATGAGGCCAGCAGGGGAACAGTTAGGGACGATCAGGCCAGCAGGGGAGCAGTTAGGGGCGATCAGGCAGGCAAGCAGAGGGGTTAGGGGTGATCAGGCAGGTGAGCGGTTAGGGGTGATCAGGCAGGTGAGCGGTTAGGAGCCATCGGTCCTGGATTGTGAGAGGCAGTTGGACATCCCCCAAGGGTTCCCAGATTGGAGAGGGTGTAGGCCAGACTGAAGAAACCCCCCTTGCACAAATTTCATGCACTGGGCCTCTAGTTTATAAATAAAGAACATTTAATGACTAGAGACTTCATTTCTTGCCAGAATTATTCAGTTATTTTATCTATTTAGAGTCTGATTTAACCTCCCTTTTCACTCATGATCTCTTTCTACTCTACTAGTATTCAATAAACTTTTCATAAAGGGCTAGATAGTAAATATTTTTGGCTTTGCAGGGATATGCAATATCTGTCACAACTACTCAACTCTTGACATATTAGTATGAAAGCAACCATTAACATTATGTAGCTGTTTTCTGTTAAAATTTTATTTATGGACAATGAAACTTTACTTACAAATAATTTTATATGCCATGATCGATTTTTTTCAACCATTTAAAAAATATAGAGCCCTGGCCGGTGTTTCTGAGTGGTTAGAGCATCAGCCTGAGCACCGGAAGGTCATGGGTTCAATTCCCAGTCCTGCAAGTACCTGGGTTGCAAGTTCATTCCCAGCCCTGGTCAGATACATGCAGGAGGCAACCAATCAATGTGTCTCTCTCACATCAATGTTCCTCTTTCTCTCCCCCCCTCCCTCCCTCCTTTCCATACTCTCTCTAAAAATGAATGGAAAAATATACTTGGGTGAGGATTAACAATAACAACAAAAATTATTCTTAGCTTGTTGGCTGTATAAAAACAGGCAGCCATATTTGGCCCAATGACCATATTTTGCCAATCCCTATCTTATACTTGTTACTTATTTGTTTAATGTCCATCTTTTTCCCATTCCTTCTATTCCTAGCTTATAGTTATTGCAGTGTTTCCACCAACATATCAACCACCCCATATTTATTGAGTACTTACTCTGTGCTCTAAATTTAGCTGCATCTTTACCAGAAAGTGACAAAAGGAAGATAATTTTTATTATCAAATAAAAATGTTTATTTATTAAAACTCTACATGTTTTTCAGCTAAAATTAATGACTAAGTTGAGGTTAGGAGGCTTTTTTTGAAATACATATGTCCCCACAAATCCTACTATAATCCTGAATAATTAAGTTGAATTTAAGTGTAGTAGAAATTATGAAATCTCTTGCCAAAGAACCATGGAGGAAAATACCCACTTATAAATAACAAACACAGCTGACTAGCTACAGTGGTAAAGAATGTTTTGTATGTTTAATGTAACCTGCTATCAAAATATAAATGTGCAGACTCATTTGGGAAACAAAGGAATGAATGAGAATGGGTTATGTTATAGAAAACTTAGCACAGGGTTTCTTTAAATAGAAAGAAATCTTCTGTGGTATTTTAAATATATATTTGATTCATTTAAAAAATGAATTTTCATGTAAGTTTTCAGTAACATAATAATTGTATAAACAGGTTATACAATTATAAAAGAGGAAGCTAGTGATGGGTCATGGGACCTAAAAATACAGTGCTTAAAGGAAAGGCTTGTAATTGTAATTAATAGAAATTTCAAGTTATTGATAAAGATTGGTAGCTTGGAAGACGGAACACAGCAAGAAAGCACTTTTAAAAAAAATAAGTGCTTTAAAATGAAAAAAGATTACTAACATGAAAGCTGTCTATGTAAACAGTGGGCTCTAAATTAACAAATAAGCATAAAATACTGACTTCTTTTCTGGATACATCACTCCTGGCAGCCAAATATGACTTGTTACAAAGAGGAGATTTTTGGTCCAGTTCTTGTGGTTCTGGAGACAGATACTTTGGATGAAGCCATCAAGATTGTAAATGATAACCCATATGGAAATGGAACTGCCATCTTCACCACCAATGGAGCCACCGCTAGGAAATATTCCCACTTGGTGGATGTTGGACAGGTTTGTGAAAATAATTTTTAGGAGATTCTTATAGCCATTTACTGGTTCCTGGGGAGATGGTAAACAGTGATCAGTTGCTACCACTCTGATCTCCCACAATGCCCCATTTTCTTCCTCAGGAATAAAAGTTCAGTGAGATGGATATAGGGTGGAAGGTGGGTATTTAAACTTGACTCTAATGCCACGCATTTATGCTTCTAAATGGAGAGTTCCTTTGTTTGAGTCCTTTTCTTAATATCTGATGTGAATTTGTTCTGCTTTAGGTGGGTGTGAATGTCCCCATTCCAGTGCCTTTACCAATGTTCTCATTCACTGGCTCTCGATCTTCCTTCAGGGGAGACACCAATTTCTATGGCAAACAGGTAACAAAGTTTTTTTAAATGTCTTTTCCTCTAAGAAACTTTTATATATTCAGGAACAAGGATTCTGCAAGGAAGGGTCTGCCAGCAGCCTCTGTGAGGTCATACATTGTTCAGCACTGCTTGTCAGTAGGTCTCCTAGAAAAGATTTGAAAGAGAACAGAGTTTTAGGGAAAAAGCATACGGAAGTCCAAGCCTTTATATATGCTCTTTCCTCTGCCTCCTCATTTTCATCTGACTAACGCTTAATCACCTGTCATGTCTCCACTTAAAGAATGGACTCCTCTAGAAAACCACTTGACTACCAAAAGCCCTTTCCTCAGTGCTCAGTTGGGTATGCCCTCATGTGCTCCCGCCAATCCACATATTTCTCCCTGTAATGGTTATTCACTTACAAAAAATTTCTTTGAGCACCTTCTTTGTACCAAACACTATTCTAGGCACTATAAATACAGCACTGAACAAAAGCAGATCTGAAACCAAATTGCCTGGGTTCAAACCCCAGCTTGGCCAGTTATTAACTGTGTGACTTTGGAGATACCTTTTCTTTGTCTCAGATTTCTTCATCTGTAAAATGAAAATAACAACAATACCTATATTTCATGAGGTTATGAGGATTAAGTTACCACTGTTATCACATTCTTCAGGAGGTGCATACTTCCTAAGGCAGGAACAGTCATGGCATATTCAAACAGCAGAAATGGTCTGGAGCACAGGGAGTGAATGAGTAAGACAGTGGGGTAAGAGATGAGGCTAGAGAGGTAGGCAGGGACAAGCCATGTAAGAATCTTTAAGCTATGCTAAGAAGTCCTCATCATCCTTTAGTTACTTATCTGCAGCACCTGGCACAGAGCAGGTGCCCAAACATATGTTGAACAAATGGGTTAGTGGAAGTTCTTTATAGTCCTACAGAAATTCAGCCATTTTGGAATATTCAGTAATAAATTACATTTTTTTTCTATAAAGGTCTCTCTTTTAAATGTTAATAAAAAATTAACAGTGGACTTACATAGCAGAATATGGCAGTGTGGCGAACTGGCTAAGAAAAAATTTGATTATTTGGAGGCTTATTATACAGTTTGTGACAAAAATGACAGCTTTTATAAAACTAACTAGTTTATACTATTAACAAAAATTTCTTTATAAGTTACTCTGTAAGTGAGGCTTCTTGCAGGAAAAGACTGACCTCATATAGAGTTTGAAGTCTAAAATCCTCAGGTAATTAAATTGCTAATTTGTATTTTAGAAATGAAAATATCATCCTATATAATAATCCAATATAATAAAAGAGTAATATGCAAATTGACCCTAATGGTGGAATGACAGGTCACTATGATGTGCACTGACACCAGCAGACGCTCAATGCAGGAGCTGCCCCCTGGTGGTCAGTGTGCTCTCACAGGGGGAACTCTGCTCAGCCACAAGTCAGGCTGATGGCTGCGAGTGCAGCGGCAGTGCGGCCCGGGAGGAGCAGGCCTAAGCCATCAGTCGGACATCCCTCAAGGGCTCCATGGCTGCCAGATGGATGTCTGACTGCCAGCTTAGGCCCGATCCCCCCGGAGAGCAGGCCTAAGCCAGCAGGTGGACATCCCCCAAGGGGTCCCAGACTGCGCGAGGGTGCAGGCTGGACTGAGGGAACTCCTTGAGTGCATGAATTTTCATGCACCAGGCCTCTAGTCCTTTATAATAAAAGCCCAGCGACCAAATGGCAGAACGACCAGAACACTGAAACAACCATGCCCCCTCCCCCTGGCCGGCCCCACCCCCAATCAGCCCCCAAAGGGGTGGGCCGACTGGACCCCACCAGTGCACAAATTTGTGCACTGGGCCTCTAGTCTATATATACTCTTCATACTTACTCTTCATACTTCTCTTTTATATATATATATATATATATATATATAAGCGCCTAATATGTTAAGTGTCCGACTGATTGGTCGACCATTTATTTGGTCGACCGTTTGATCAGTTGCTATGACATGCACTGACCATCAGGGGGCAGACACTCTGATCAGTAGGTTAGCTTGCTGCTGTGGTCCGGCCAATTGGGACTGGAGCCAACCTCCCACGGTCGCTGTCTGGCCTCTAAAATATTTCTTCTAATTAATTTCCTTTCCATGTGCATGAATTTGTGCACTGGGCCTCTAGTTCTTACGTAATAAAATGTAAACTTTAGTTGTATCTTATATTGAAAGTATATAATAATCTCTAAAGTTGTTTTCAATATATTAACATGGCCCAGAATGTCAAGTAATTCTAGAAGAGTATTTCAATCAAACTGCTGGTTTTTTCCAAACAATATCTTTTTAGCTTTCTAGTAATTTGGTGTTAGATCTGTATAGTCCAGTGATGGCGAACCTTTTGAGCTCAGCATGTCAGCATTTTGAAAAACCCTAACTTAACTCTGGTGCCATGTCACATATAGAAATTTTTTGATATTTGCAACCATAGTAAAACAAAGACTTATATTTTTGATATTTATTTTATATATTTAAATGCCATTTAACAAAGAAAAATCAACCAAAAAAATGAGTTCGCGTGTCACCTCTGACACATGTGTCATAGGTTTGCCATCACTGGTATAGTCTATTCTCTTTTGCTCAAGCCTATTATAAAATAAACCATGTAGATTATAAAGACTTAAATATGCTGAACTTTTTTTGACTTACATGTTATAGATTATTTAGAAATGAATGTGTATACCAGACATTTTACTTTAGATTTGTAAGATATTGTGGATTTTATTGCTTCAGTATAGCTATTCGTCACTGACAGTTGTCAGAAATGCCTAATATATATTTCATTCTTTCACTCCTTTCTCTTCTTCATGGGAAGGAGAGATTTGTATGCCATTTCATTTTCCCCTCACACATTGCTATGAGGTGAACATTATGTCACAGATAAGGCCGAAGGTTAAACGGCAGTCAACAAGGAGTAGAGGCAGGATTTGAGCTATGCCTCAAGACCTCGGAGCACATGATATTCAGAATGACCTACAAGTTTAACAGATTACAGTGTTGAATTGGCCAATATCAGCATAATGATAACTAAGGTTTGACTGTTTACTATGTGCCAGGTATTATGCTAAATGTTTTAGATAAATTTATATGAACAATATATTGGATTTTAGTTGTACCTATTCCTCAAGTAGGAGAGTGAGTAGTACTTCTCAGCACCTCGTTCAAAAGTTGATTAAAAGAGGAATCATGAAATCTCCCCAAAATATATGCTAATTCTCTCTTTCTTCCTTTGTTCTCTTTAGGGCATCCAATTCTACACTCAGCTAAAGACCATCACTTCTCAGTGGAAAGAAGAAGATGCTACTCTTTCCTCACCTGCTGTGGTCATGCCTACCATGGGCCGTTAGAATGAGTTGTTCCAGACTCAGTCCATCCTGAGTCATCTCCCTTTATTCTTGACCACCTTCATTTGCCAACTTTGCTCAGATCAGATCCCTGAGAATGGAATACCTTGTAACTAAATCTTTCTCAGGACCATTAGCCCCTGCACAGTTGCTATAGAGAGACTCCTGGTGTAAATCTGAAACCGGATTTACTTACTCTTCATACTTCTCTTTTTGAGGTAACTGTTGTTAACTGTGAAATGTTAATCTGAAGGAGAGCTTAGAGCTGTTTTCTAAAAATTCTTCCCTCTTCTGATAACTTGAAGGGAAGATTAGTGTTTGTAAAGATCATCCATAATTCACCCTTTGGTTGACCTTCAAATAGCCCTACATAATTGCCAGTGGGGGATACACCACTGCCAGGCTTTCCTGAGCCTATCATCCCATACTACACAAGATATAGTCCATTTCTACTTATCCCACAGTTGTGACAACTATTTCCTTCTTTTTGCTGAATGCCACTTTGTCCTAGTGATTCATGACCACTAAATTCTATCATCACCTCTGTCCTGCTTCTTCAAATAATTTTTCAAAGATACCTCAGTATGCATTGGATAAATCTCCATTTTGTAGTGTGTGCCAAATGTTAAAGTTTAGGGTTTGCTTCAACAATCATTAATTAACAATTCAGTTATTAACTCAGATGCCAATAGGTTTTTTGTTTGTTTCTAGACCCAGATATCAAAGGGAGTTTGCCTTAAGCAAGTCTAGCCTGATTATACTTTTTAATGAAACAACCCTTAATATAGAATAACTGACTAGGGTCTAAGACATTTTTAAAGCTTTTCATGACATAAAGTAGTAAAAAAGAAATGCTTTGCCCTGCCTGATGCAGCTCGGTTGGTTGGAGCATCATCCTGTGCACCAAAAGGTCGTGGGTTTGAATCCTGGTCAGGGCACATACCCAGATTGTGGGTTCAATTCCTGGTTGGGATGTGTACAGGAGGTAGCCAAACAATGTTTCCTTCTCCTCCTTCTCTCTCTCTCTCTCTCTCTCTCTCTCTCTCTCTCTCTCTCTCTCTCTCTCTCTCTCTCTCTCTCTCCCTCCTTCTCTCTCTCCCTCCCTCCCTCCCTCTCTCCCTCCCTCCCTCCCTTTCTTCAAAATAAAAAAAACATATTTGAAATAAAAGAAATGCTTTGACAGATTCTTTTGCTACAATTAATTCAACTATGTCTTTGATGTAGCTAAGCTTTAAGTCAAATAGATATTGATATGCTAATCAAAACAGCTTCTGCCTTTTTGCTCTACATTCAGTTGAATCCTGTCTTTCTGATGCAGTTTTCACCCAGTGAACTAGGAGAAGGCTTCTGGCTCAGATAGAGTAAGTAATCTCTGGCCCCTAGCCAGATGATATAGGTCATTTATTTTTCTGTTTCCCTTCAGTCATATGGATAATGTTGACCTACTCCATAGGAGTTACTCAGTGAATTAAGGGTAGTGAAAACCTTGAAAATGTTTGTACACTCTACATAATTTAGGCTTATTACTACCACCTACTGATAGAATATCAGAATCTTCAGTCACTTAAGGCAGTGATTTTCAACCTTTTTCATTTCATGGTACACATAAACTAATTACTAAAAATTTATATTTTTTGCCAAGCTGACAAAAAATTGGTATAATTTTGATTGATTTACAAAAAAATAATAACAATAGTAATTACCTGCCCTTTTTGCTCCAAAATTACTTTTTTCAAAATCAGGTGCATATACTTATAAGGATTTTTGGTACCCAGAATTAACCAATCAGATACAACCTTATTATGCAACATGACCAATAAGTTGCAACGCTATTATATGACCTATATATTTATGGTTCAAGAGAGGGCATTCACCTTTGAGACAGCATGGAGGGACCTGGAGAGTATTATGCTAAGTGCAATAGCCAGTCAGAGAAAGACAAGTATCACATGATCTCACTCATGTGGAATCTAATGAACAAAATAAACTGATGAATAAAATGAATCCAGAGACATAGAAGCGTAGAACAGACTGTGGAACCTCAGAGGGAAGGCAGGGGAGTGTGGGTGAGTGGTAAGTGATCAACCAAAGAACTTGTATATATATATGCATAACCCATGGACACAGACCATAGGGTGGTGAAGGCCTGGGACTTGGGGGTGGGGGTAAAGGCAGGCAGGCAGGCTAGAAGGGGTCAATGGGGGGAAGGGGAAAATGGGACAAATGAAATATTTTCAACAATAAAGATTTAATTTTTAAAAGGGGGGGGGGCATTCACACCAGACAGCTATTTTGTGTTGACTACTGTCATTCTTTTATTTGGCAATCTAAGGGAAAAGAGGTCAGGTTTTGCATATTTTAAAAATTCTTATGGCACACCAGTTGAAAATCACTGAGTTAAGGTGACTAGAATTTTAATAAAATACATTTATGACCCTACTGGGTCTTCCTGATTTATTTTGTTTTATTTCAGTTTTGCCTTCCTAAAGATGAGGCAGTAGAAATTTATAGAATGTCCCTTGTTTTATCTCTTGTCACAGCTGGCAACTGATAGTGATATTTAATCCAATCCAACAACTAGAGGCTGGATTGAATAAAAGGTCATACTCTCTAAATTCCAAGTGGAATTGAATCACAGAGACTTCTAAATTTTCCTTACATTTAACGGAAATCACTTTTTAAATAATACTAATCAGGAGACAGCCAATCAATGATTCTCTCTTATCATTGACATTTCTCCCTTCCTCTATGAAATCAATGAAAATATATTTTTAAAAATACTAATCAGAATCATGAAAATGGCAGGTATAATTAAATTAGAAGATGTTTCAATATTTAAAAAAAAAGAATGGTGTTCCTGTAATTGGAATCAATTTATTTGGTTAGTTATTTACTACTCAGAAGTTTCTTATTTCTTAGATAGAAAAAATAATTGTACAGTTGTTTATGCTAGTAGCAGCTAAAAAAATGAGTGTTTTGTTTTCATTTTGCTCTGATGTGGCCTCATTCTCTGATTTTACATTGTACTAATTATGAATAACAAGCACAAATAAAAAGCTCTTAAAAAGAAAATCTGGCTTTAAAAAAATGGTGCCATACTTACTTATACCAGTAAGACCTCTGTCCCCTACCTGTAGTGACTTAGACTTCCCACCTCTGTCCAAAGCCAAGAGTTAAATGGGACGTTATGTTTTAATTCTTACATAAAAGATAGTACATATTTTGGCTAGGCTGTGGATTTCAAAAGACAATTTATATGTTTTCAACACTAAAAGGCAAAACATGCATTTGCATTAAGTATATGCCTTCCTTATGTGGATAGTTATAAAAATGTCCACAATCTCATACTAGTAATACTCATTTCACTGATACCTGAGATAGTAGAGCTAAAGAACTGTGACTTAGCAAGAAGCTCATGGGGAAAGGTAACTACCGGGAGCCGGTCCATGCTTGCTGTTTCAAGGGACCTGGTATATATGGCATACTGTTCTTAATATGTTTGCTCACCTTCTTGGCACTATGTGTTTTAACCAAGGTCTCTGAGAAAGGTTGTTTCCCCAGGCAGGGATTTTCCCCTGAAGTTAGGGAGGGAATAAAACCTCTTAACTAAGTGCCAGGCGGGTAATTAATCACTTTAACTACAAACAATCATGCTTAAGCTACATAATCTTTACTCCCTGGAATGGAGATAAGAAACGCCCTAACCTTTGTAATAGAGATTGATAGGATTGAATCAACTGGTATAAATACAGATGTAACAAGACAGCGAGAGACAGAACTTAGAACACAGAACTTAGAACACAGAACTAAGAAGACAGAACCTACAGAACTAGAGACAGAAGAACTTCGCTGGAGAGAACATGGCAAAAGATCCTGGACTGAACCTGACTACAGAAATGGGCAAGAGAACCTGACTAGAACCTGGTGACTGAACCTGGCTGGAGAACCTGGACAGAACCTGGCTGGAGAACCTAGCGAGGGAACATGGCTACAGAACCTGGCTGGAGAACCTGGAGAACCTAGCAAGAGAACATGGACACAGAACCTGGCTGGAGATCTGAAGCAGAACCTCTCTGGAGATCCAGACCAGAACTTGGCTGGAGATCCTGGCTAGGCTGCTGATCAACTGAACACTGTCTCCGTGTCATTCCTTCTTCGCCGACTCCATCCACACCTTTGGGGACCCCTGGACCTGCTGGGGTTGGACCCCGGCATCTGGCGCCCGAACAGGGACCCCTAGGTAAGCCCCACTCTCAGGAGGGATAGGACTCCACCGTAGGAAGAGGGTGGATAGTCTTCGCCGACTCTGTCCACACCTTTGGGAACCCCTGGACCTGCTGGGGTTGGACCCCGGCATATGGCGCCCGAACAGGGACCCCTAGGTAAGCGCCCCGCACTCGGGACGGATAGGACTCCACCGTAGGAAGAGGGTGGATAGTCTTTGCCCCACAATCGGGACGGATCGGACTCCACCATAGGAAGAGGGTGGATAGTCTTCGCCGACTCCGTCCACACCTTTGGGAACCCCTGGAACAGGATTCCCCTAGGTAAGCCCCCCCCCATTGAGAACCCCCACATTCGGGACGGATAGGACTCCACCAGTGTATTGCAGACCCCCCTATAGAGGATAAGTAGGGTAAGAAGGTGGATAGTACAGAACTTAGATTGAGAAGATGTACCATACTGAGTCCAAAGAAAAAAGACTCTGTATTGATTCTTAGATTGAGAAGATGTGCCATACTGAGTCCAAAGAAATAAGATTCTGTATTGATCTTTTAACACATATGCTTGCTAGCAGAGGAATTAAGGTTACTCCCAGTCAGACAGAACGTTTTATACAAGAAGTATGGCCATGCTTTTCTGAGGAAGGAAAGGTAAATGTAAAGGCATGAGAGAAGGTAGGCCCAAGGAGCCTTATCCTTAACCCCACTGCAGCCTTTCCACCCTGGGAAAGTGCAGGATTGGCAAGCTCTCTCTGGGGTGATAGATCAGGACTCAGGTAATAGCAGAAAGCGCCAATCCTACTCTTAAAATGGATATAAGAGAGCATTTGGGGTTTTTCTTTTTAATGCCTGCTTTTAAAAAATAAAAAAGGGGGAATTTACCGGGAGCCAGTCCATGCTTGCTGTTTCAAGGGACCTGGCATATATGGCATACTGTTCTTAATATGTTTGCTCACCTTCTTGGCACTATGTGTTTTAACCAAGGTCTCTGAGAAAGGTTGTTTCCCCAGGCAGGGATTTTCCCCTGAAGTTAGGGAGGGAATAAAACCTCTTAACTAAGTGCCAGGCGGGTAATTAATCACTTTAACTACAAACAATCATGCTTAAGCTACATAATCTTTACTCCCTGGAATGGAGATAAGAAACGCCCTAACCTTTGTAATAGAGATTGATAGGATTGAATCAACTGGTATAAATACAGATGTAACAAGACAGCGAGAGACAGAACTTAGAACACAGAACTTAGAACACAGAACTTAGAACACAGAACTAAGAAGACAGAACCTACAGAACTAGAGACAGAAGAACTTCGCTGGAGAGAACATGGCAAAAGATCCTGGACTGAACCTGACTACAGAAATGGGCAAGAGAACCTGACTAGAACCTGGTGACTGAACCTGGCTGGAGAACCTAGCGAGGGAACATGGCTACAGAACCTGGCTGGAGAACCTGGAGAACCTAGCAAGAGAACATGGACACAGAACCTGGCTGGAGATCTGAAGCAGAACCTCTCTGGAGATCCAGACCAGAACTTGGCTGGAGATCCTGGCTGGAGATCCTGGCTAGGCTGCTGATCAACTGAACACTGTCTCCGTGTCATTCCTTCTTCGCCGACTCCATCTGCGCCTTTGGGAACCCCTGGACCCGCTGGGGTTGGACCCTGGCAGGTAACAGTTATATGTATTGTTTGGTTAGATTACAGACTCCTT